GGGGGTGTTTGTGGTTTGGTTTAGAGGATGAGGCATATGCATTTTATTACGACTTGATGTACATGACATTGGGCATTGCATGGCACAGGCATATATTATTGGAGAGAACAGAAAGCAGAACCCATGAGACACTTCCAGAGCCAACTACGTGTCTAGTGACTCCATACATGGATCCAATCACGGACCGAGCCGTCCGCATTCATACCAGACCGGTGCGTCCGGGCAGGCTTGACAAGCTCCAGGCGCTTCAGACCGTTGCCGTTGTCGCTCAGGGGCGGTACGACGACGACATCGGCCGCGTCGCCGGCCTGCGTCGAGGAGGAGAACTCGAGGGGTTGGCCGGGGTGGGAGAGCAGGGCGAGGTAGATCTCCGGCGTGAGGCCCCTTTTTTAATGTTATTAACGTCCGTCACTTTCATATCTTAGAAAGGGGCGGGGCTTAGTCTATACCATGGTGGCCCAGGTTGGGAGAGGGGTTTGCCCGAGGGGAACTCTAGGCAGATGAGGCGGCTGCCGGGGGAGGAGCTCAGAAGGGAGGCTGTACGGGAGGACCATTGGGGTCTGGCTGTTGGGGGGAGGGCACAGAGGAACTTGGGGAGGGGGAGGGGGGTTTCAATGTTAGCTCTTTTGCCTCTTTTTTTTTGTAGGCTCTTTTTATAGTTGAGAGTCGGACAGTTGTGTGGGAGACGTACAGTGTAATCAAAGATGAGGTCAAACGTCTTTTCGCGAGGCCACTCCTCGAGCCACGAGTCTGAGAAGAAGTCACCCGAGAGCCATGCCACGGAGCCCGGCTCGGCGCCGTTTGGTTGGCGGACGGCATTCACATCCGGTACTCCGTCATCCCCGGCAGCGGCGGCAGCAGCGGCGATGACGGCTCTTTGGTTCTCCTTTGCCTCGGCGATGGCGGCGGACGAAAAGTCGAGCCCGAGGACGTCGTAGCCCAGGTTTGCGAGGAGCAGAGCGTCGTGGCCTTTACCGCAGCCCGGGACGAGCGCCGTCGGCTTCTTTTGTTGTTGTTCTTTGGTTGGAGGCGGGATGAGGTCCGGACGGGTGGTGAGGAGGTCGAGCAGGGCGACTGAGAACTGGCCGCGGTCCCAGGGGTGGAACTTTTGTTCCCATAAGGCGGACCATTGCTGGCCGTGGTTTGGGAGGGGGATGTTTGCAAAGGCTGAGGAGAGCTTGTTTGGGTCGTTTGTCATGATGGGGCTTCACTTGGACGTTATGGGGGGTTGATTGGGGGGGGGCTCTGGAAGGTTCGGGTTGGTGTGGGGGCCGAGCGATCCTTGATGAAGATTGGAGTTGTTTTGGTCAAGCAAATCAGTGAGATCCAAGTTGTTTTCTGACCAGTATAAGAAGAATTAGTTTGCAAGTATCGAAAAGAAGGAAAGGGAGGAAGAAAGAAAGAAAGAAAAAAAAACTGCGCATAGAATGAAGTCATGAAGTGAGGTAGCCCGGAGCTAGCAATCTTCTTAGTCCCCGAGGACCCCGCGCTGCGATGGGGGGCAAACGCCCCGCGCTGAAGAATGGCGATGTGATCCCTGTCGCTGCCAGGGACACACAGTCCCGAATCCTTGGATACCTTACCTTACCCAAGCTCGCCAGGTCAAATCAACCACATACCCTCAGACCGCATGGCGACAGACGTGCCAATGTCTTCTTACAGCTCTCTCAGCTGTAAGCCTTACCGTGCCCCATTTGGTGTGACATTTTGGTGTAGAGATGCGAGGTAGGTGAGTAACGCCTTCATGATAGGTCAGTGACACACCTTTGCTGGCTTTACCGCGTTAAAGGATTACCAGTCATTGCGAATTGAAGCTCTGCTGTTGATACTGCCTGGCGTGACATGATCCATATAAGGGAGACTCATCAAATCAATCAACGCCGAGTACAGTCAGTCATGCCCTAAATCATTCATGGAACGCTTCCATGATAGAATGTTCCTGGCGGTTCCAGAGGCCCTGCATGGTTCATCGTGGAGTGTAGATATGCGGCTCTAATATCTGCAGGAAAAGTAGGCGGCAGCCGTTGTGTCACCGGTTACGTTCAGGTGTGGCCCGGGAGAGCCTTTTCGGGGACAATCGCCGAGTCCCACGACCAAAGCGGGGTCGCCCCGTCCGGAGGGCGTCAGGCAACCGCGCGCCACATGCCCCGATCCCGGCATCGGAAGCTACCTCCACTTTCCCGCCCTCCTTCGCAACACATCTCATCCCAACCTCAAACTTCTCTTGACAAGATCTCACCCTTTTTTATCACCTCCTCACTCGTTTACTGGGCTTCCGGCAATTTCTCGTCACACCTCACCTCACACCACAGCACGCCGACCCATCGTGAACAGGAGGACATGGCCGACCTCGCGACCTGCTTGCCCCTCACCCGGGCCTCCGTCGTCGAAGCCCACAAGCTGGTCAAACCGCACGTCCACTACACTCCCGTCCTCACCAACAAGACCCTCACGGCGTTGGCGTCGACGCCGCGGGACCCCGAGGATCTCAAGGGCACGGCGTGGGAAGGGCGCACGCCGGCGAAGCCCGTGCTCCGGCTATGGTTCAAGTGCGAGAACCTGCAGCGCATCGGCGCGTTCAAGGTCCGCGGCGCTTTCCATGCCGTTGAGAGGCTGAAGCAGGAGCCTGGGTGGGTCGAGGGCGGCGGCAAGGAGAAGGGCGTTGTGACGCATAGTTCAGGTACGGATAACCTCACTTTTTGCCTTTTCTTCTTCTTCTTTTTTCACCAGTGACCGAAAGAGAGTGTTCGAATCGCGAGCGTTTCTTGGATCAAGTATAAGAAATTGATGAACGATTTCAGGAAACCACGCCCAAGCCCTGGCCCTCGCAGCCAGAGAGAACGGCATCCCAGCACACATTGTCATGCCAGACATCTCCCCGCCCAACAAGATCGCCGCGACGCGCGGCTACGGCGCCAACGTCGTCTTCAGCGGCAGCACCAGTGTCGAGCGTGAGGCCGTCGCAGATCGCATCATCGCCGAGACGGGCGCCCGTCTCGTGCCCCCCTACGACCACCCGGACATCATGCTGGGGCAAGGGACCATGGGCCTCGAGCTCCAGGAGCAAGTGCGCAGTCTCCTGGCCGCGGGCCACTCGGCCGAACACCCGACATTCAACTCGACGGGCCTGCCCCCTGCGCCGCCGGTATCCAATGGCGACGGCGACAGCGACAAAGCAAAAGGGGGGCTGGACGCGATCATGACGCCGTGCGGGGGCGGCGGTATGCTCTCCGGCGTGGCGCTGAGCTGCGAGGGCACGGGGATCCGGGTGTTTGGCGCGGAGCCCGCGTTCCAGGGCGCCGACGACTGCAAGCGCGGCTTCGAGACGGGCAAGAGGGTCGAGAGCGTGAAGACGTTGACGGTCGCCGACGGCTTGCGGACGCCCGTGGGTAAGCACCCCTGGTCCGTCATCTACGAGCGGCGGCTGGTGGAGAACATGTACAGCGTGTCCGAGGAGGAGATCAAGGCGGCCACGAAGCTCGTGTTTGAGCGGTTCAAGCTTGTGGTTGAGCCTAGTGGTGCGGTCCCGTTGGCTGTGGCGCTGTTTAATGAGGATTTCAGGGCCATGGTGGAGAGGGAGGCGGGGGAGACGGGGTGGGATTTGGGGTTGGTTTTTAGTGGTGGGAATATGGCTTTGGAGGGGCTCATGAAGATTTTTGCTGCGTGATATCCTGGAATTTCGCGGTGTAGAGATGGGTCGATAGAGGCGTGTTCAGAATGAGCTCATGAGAATATACTCTTCCTGACCTCTCGACATTTACTTATGAGGTGGAATGTAGAACTTGGAACCCAAATGCCCATAGGCAAGATTTCCCATGCCCAAGAATGTGGTAGTGTATATGCAATTCATCTCACTTTGTTAAGGACTGTCTGTTGCGTATCGTGTCTATCGGCTTGACCCTAGAGATATCATTTACCAAACAAGTTACCACCCGCCTACACTTGCCTTACATTATTGTACAGGCACGTCTTCCTTGTTCCTAAAACATACGTCTGTCTGTATACAGACGCCGCAATGAGATATTACAAGTGGGGGATTCATTGACTGTCTGCACTCGCCTTACAATATTCCCAAGTTGTTTAGTCCCAATTCCGAGACCCTACAGACACAGATACGTACGTACATACACTCACATCATCTGGAAACTATAAGTGAGACTACAAATAAGAAATCTATCAGGGTCACTCTCTTTATCGTCTTGTCGTTCTCCTTTGCGTAGTACAAGATGAAAACGGTTAGCGAAATGGAAGAACGAATTGAAAAGCCTTGTACAAAGGTCAATAGTAACATCGTTCTCTCTCAAAGCTGCCTGTTTGCGGACACCAATAGGCCATCTCGCAGCCACACCGTATTTAGGAGACCTTAGGTATAAATAACGAAGCTAATGATGATGCACCTGTGTCGCAGCGTGTCCGGTCTAGCAGAGTCGCAAGGTCTCCTTTATACCTTTCCACTTCCCATACGGCCACTGCTTCCTTGGTGCGTATAGTCTAAGTACCTAATTAAAAAACAAAGAGGTCTCCTTCTTTTATTATCTTTAAAAACAAACACCCACTAAGCTACCCTCCTCTTATCTACTCACTTCTCGGCACGAACGTATTACTCCACGAATGCGTAAATAAAGGTAAAGCTTAGTAGAGATGCGTTTTTTTTTTTTTTTTTTTTAATATTTTTATGCTTGAGGCCGGCGTTTATAAAGACGATATTATAGATAGAATTCAGGCTTACATCCCCGCCCAGATCTGCACAGCGAGAAGCAGACGAGGCGGATTCAGGTGTGGAGGCCGAAAGAGAAACTAGTCATTCTGACCTTCCTTCTAAAGTGGATTTAGGGTTTTCCGATCAAAAACAGTTCTTCCGAAGGGGCGGATTATGGTACATGACTGAAGGCTCTGTAAGATCGGATTATGGTTCTGCGGACTCCCCGGAAGAAACATCGGGTTCTGCTGATTCCAACAATGATAGCTCGGATTATGGTGCTGATGATAGTCCCAATGAAGAGACAGTCTCATAGAACGAGCATGAACTCGGCTCTATGCTTATTGTCTCGTACGGTGTCTCTCTCCCCTTAATTCCCAAACGGAGTCCTTGTGGCCCTCTTTCATAGTAGACATGATGCTAACAGGCCTCACTCAAGACTGTGTGACACGATCATCTAGAACATGCCTCAATGATTTGGAACATACCTTAGTAAAGACGCACGTTATCTGTCCCTCTCCCCCCCCCCCCCCCAAATCCAGGTATGCCCCTCACACAACACAAAAGAGCAAGTCGCCCCGATCGCCCAAGACTGAGTGTGAGTGGTCTTCAAACACCAAAGATAGTTCTATAGTCCGTGAGAACCATTCCTCGGGGCCATCATGGGGGCAGGCTTCTATGGTTAACCGTTTTCCTACATTGCCTACTTGCTCCACATTCCACTTCGGCAAAGAAACGAGAAGCACATGAACATACCTACCCACCACCTCTTTGTCTGTCCACGGCTTCCACGTCTGTCGACCAGACGTGTTCGCTCCCAAATTTGTAAAGACTACAAAGCATTATGAGAGACATGCTAGGTTCAAACTCACCTTTTTGGACTGAATGTTCGCAGGGAGTGAAATTGACTCCAGCGTCAACACGTCATCCAGTAAGATCGACCCATTTTAATAGGCGTTCGATTAGTTCACCTCTCCGTTGCCATGTTCAACCGTGAAGAGTGGGAACAGCACAGCTTTTATATAAGTACCAAAGAACAGAGCTATGAATTGCTAGGGACTCTTCACTGCTTGCCCTATGTATCGAGGGCGGCTCAAGTCTCAATAGCAGGAGAGCATATCCAAACGCCTCTCCGCGAGGTAGTGAAGCATAGTAGAGCAACGACAAAACCAAAGCTGTCACATTGCCATTTAGAAAACCAGAAACCAGGTTTTGACTTTAACCATCTTACTTCGCATCTATGGATGCCCTAGAATATTCTGATATGACAGCATAGCAACCTTGACCATAATCTTTCCCTTGAAGCGTGGCTAAATATGAAGAAAAATCATTCTGATTTTTTTCTTCTGATAGTTTGATTGAAGCAGTTGTGACAAACTTCCTCTTATAACTCCCCAACCCGCTACCAGACTCTACCTCACTGAATTCAGAGTCTGTTCGTCTCTCAAAAAAAAAAAAAAAAAAACGCTTTGCAACTCCACTAGTCGCTGCTCATCCGCGCGCTTGCCGCCCTACAACTAGAGCCTCTCAGCCTTGCCTGCGCCCGCCAGTGCTCATCAGCGTGATCTTCTGCTTCTTCTTCTTTCCCTTACCAGCTCCTCCCGCTCCTCCCGCGCCGTTGCCACCGCCGCCCCCGATGCTGCTACTGGCTGCCCCAAATACGGAACTGCTGCTGGAGGGACCTGGCTCAGTCACACCTAGGGCCTCCATCTGGAAAGAAAGCTCAGCAGGGCCAAACAGATCTTCATCCTTTAGCCATCCATCGTCGAGTTGACGCATAGAGGCCGGGGCAAGCTCAGGGGACCCATGCACCACATGGGTACCCCACACGGTTTTCTGCGTGGAAGGACTCGTAGAAATGGCTGCGAGGTGCTCGAAACCTGGTCGTGGATCGGGCGGCGTAGCATTGGAGTGGCTTGAGAGGGGCTGGAATTCTTCCAGGTTCAATGCAGGCACATGATCTTCTTCGATCGATCCATAGTCACGTCTCATAGCCGCGGTGCTCTTGAACTGGGCAGCCTCGATCCTTTCGGATTGAAGCCTCTCGCGTTCTTCCTGTACGGCCTTGTCGCGATTCCGCTTCCTCCGTCGGCCAATCTCGTCGGCAAACTTCTCGAGGACATCTGCTGACACAATGTCCGTCCAATCGCATTCCAAGAAGCTGATTCGGCAACCGTACGGGAGGTGGCCCAGGTACTTGGCTCGCTTTCGCTGCACCTCATCCAGAACATGCCCTGTCGAGATATGCTCAACGCGAGGCAACAAGGTGGATGGGAATGCAGAAAAGTCACCATATTTCGTCTTGAGAATCCGGATATCGAGCGCTGATAAGTAGAGATGCGGTTGTGATGAGTAGAAGTAAAAATCGGGTTGGACGGTCTTGTTCTGATTACCCAGCTTCTTGGTTGGCAGCATTGAATCGTTTTTGCCGAGATCTTGAACCTTCTCTTTCGCCGCATCGATGGCCCGGATCGCCTTCTTGGTCCACTCCTCGTCATCATGGTAAAGAAGCTGATCCTCGGTTCCCTGCTTCCGTAGCGCCTCGATCTCTTCGTTGAATTGCTCCAACATGTAGTCTCCAGTTCCCTTCATGATCCTAGCATAATCCAGGACATTGGCTACAAAGTGCCAAGGCACGTCATCCGACACGTTCAGCGCGTCCGAACCATTCTCCCAAGGCAATGCGAGGGTCGACTTGGCTGTCCGGGCCATGAGGCGTAGCACCACGTCATCGCCAACTCGCGGCAGAGGGCTTTCCTGTCCCGCATAGAAACGCACGGGTCGCGTCTCGTGCAAGTAGACGCAGTCTTCGCAAAGCGGGCATTTCTTCCACCTCGCACCTTTGCCAGGCTTCGAGTCCTCATCTGTCGAGTTCATGAACCGAATCAAACATGGAAGGCAGAAAATGTGACCGCACTTTGCCATTCGCGGCGCCACCGGCTCTGATAGACAGATCGGGCAACTGGCGCCCTGCGACTCGGATGAAGCCAAAATCTGCAAAACGTTGTTCCAATCAATATGAACATCGGCGTCAGCCGCCTGACTGGCGTAATTGCCTTCTGGCGAGACGACAAATCTGTAATTCGCATGAACGTATCTCGCCTTGTCCACGGCGTGGTGGCCCGAACCAGGTCCCCAAGTCGGATTTCGTCTATAACTCCGAGCATAAGAATGATGATCCGCGTAAGTATTCGGCGGACGACTGTAGTTTAAGAGGTGTGTAATCGAGGTTTGTCCTCGTCGACTATTGGCATTCCGCAGAGCCCGAATCTCGGCCATGGCGTCATCATCGTCTGGGTTTGCATGTCTGGCGTCGCCAAGTCCCGGCCTTCGCTGCATCTTGTGTTGTTTCCGGGAGCCCTGACCCTTTCGGGGGGCTGCGTGGGGGAATGAAGGACTAGGTTGGGAGGGTCGGCGGTTGGATTCGAAGCTTGTAGTGACGGGACCAGGCTGGATTGAAGGCGAATGGGAAGTCGATGCTGAAAGGGACTTGCCCAGATTTGACGGTGTCGAGCTCATGTTCGGGTTCCCGGAAGCCGAAAGACAAATGTAACGCAACAGCCTATCCGCTGACGGAAGCTATGGTCGATTCGATCGGCCCCCTTGGTCAATGTCGTGATGCGATGCGGCGCGAGCGAAGGGAACGAAAGGACGGATCGGAGGTTGCCACGACAGGCTAACTGACTCGACACCAATTTGAACGAGTATAAAGGAAGAGGTAGAGGCAAATGAGACTTGAACGCTTGAGCCAAGGTGCTTTGGTTGGATGAAGGAAGATGTTGATTGTAGAAGCAGATGGGGTCCAAAGTGGACGGACCCCATGAGTGATGGATGAGTGGGGATCAGGTAATCGGAAGTCGAGAGGATGTAGCAGCTGTTGCAGTAGCAGTACCTACGTCGGTAGAGTCATTGGCGGGGCAAATTGACGCTTGGCAACAAGGAGTACGTACCTGGCTGTCCGAACGGCTGGGATCATCACGTGATTCGGTCGCCTCCGCCGTTGCCAGCCAGGACAGCGGGTTGAATTTACCTGTTCCGTCCGACGTGCAGAGTAGGCACCTGACGCATTAGTTCGACGTGACAAATCAAGACGGCATATCCAGCAATTCCATTGACCTGTATATACATACTCTATTTTGCTACAACTTCGTCGACTTGAGGCAGCATGAGAGATCACACACACACACTGTAGCCAATAGTCAGTCACCGGTGCCTTCTCATTCACTTTGTTGGCTCAATTGATCATATGCAAATTAGGTTCGAACGAGGTACTATGGTACAAGATAGTCCGATGCAGATGAGCCGTGTGAAGGACAGATAGAAGGAGCAAAACTGAAAGAGGCGACAGCCCACATCATCCTCCATTGATTCTAGAGGCCCAACAGAAACGGCCGTACTTCCAACGTCGCCGACATACAGCTGCCGTGCCTCATTCTACCTCTCGAGCTCTTGCACATGCAAAGTGGACCAGGGGAATCATAGAAACGACAAACAACCCAAATACGCAGCACCCGACAAGAAAATCCATAAGAGCTGAGGCGTAAGACGAAGCCTCCCATCCACGCACATCCTAACGGCGAACGTTATCATTATTAAGCCGCTTATTTGCTGTGCACCTTGCTCTTAAGCTTGCCGATGAAGGCACTCAGACGGTTCTTCTTCTTCTTCTCAGTACCCGAAGGGCTCTCGGTGGCCTTAATGTTGCTCGGTGTCGTTGACTCGGGAACGGAGGACGGGGCCTTGGCTGGGGTCGTGGGGGCTTCGGGCTCCTTGGTGGAGGTGAGGTTGGCACCGTTGGCACCGTTGGCGGTGGTGTGAACCCCATTAGCACCATTGGCCTCCTTGGACTCATCCTTGGTCACGGCGGCCTTGACCTCCTCCTTGGCGAGCTTGGCTTCCTCCTTAACGGCCTCAGTCTTGGTCTTTTCACCCTCCTTAACCTCCTCCTTGGTCTCCTTGACCTCCTCCTTAGCAGCCTCAACCTTGGGCTTCTCAGCCTCGATCTTGGCCTCCTCGCCAATGGCGGGAACGGGCTTCACCTCCTGGAGGAGCTCAGCCTCAACCTCCTTCTTCTCGACAACGGCCTCCGTGTTAGCGGCGGCCTCGGGGCTCTTGCCGGCCTCGGCGATGGACTCCTTAACGACGGTGGGAACCTCGGGAGCGACCTCTTCGCGAATTTCCTCGGTCTGACCGCCGATAGCCTCCTGGACGCTCACGGGCAGGCTCTCCTTGACGGGCTCGGGGAGCTGAGCAGCGGCATCAGTGACGGCAGCGGTAGCCTGGTTCACGTGAGGAGCAGCAGCCTCGACGATGGTGTCCTTGGCGGTGATAGCAGCGGCAGCAGCAAGACCACCAGCAGTGGCAGCAGTAGCAAGGATGACGCCAGCGGCCTCAGTCTTCTGAGTGCCGAAGCCGGCAGTGCCCTCAGAGGTTGAGGGAGCGGTGGGAACCTTCTCCAGGAGCTCGTCCTCAACGACAGCCTTCTCCTGAACAGCCTCAGGGTTTGCGCTAGCCTCAGGCTCGGCGTGAGCCTTCTCCTGGCTCTCCTTGACGATTTCGGGGACCTCGGCCGTCTTGGTCTCGAGGGGAACCTCAGCAGCCAGAGCGGCGGTGGTGGATGTGGGTGCGGCGCTGTTGATGGTGGCATCAGTGGTCGCAATAGGCAAGCTGGACTCGGGAATAGAGTTGCTGGTGATAGCAGGGACGGTGGTCTCCTCCTTGGACAGGCCGGGCAGAGCGCTGGAGTCCTCGTAGCCTTCCTTGTCAAGCTTGACGTGCTCGTTGATATCGCCGGCCTTGACAGACGCGGGAAGTGGTTCGCCCGGTGCGACGGTCACGGGCTCAGCGGTAACATCTTGGGCAGGCAGAGGGTTGACGCCAAAAGACTTGTCAAGCTCATTTGCGGGAGTGACGGGAAAGCCGCCGGGGATGTCGGAGGGAGTAGCCTGGGGGAGCTCCTCCTTGTTCTCAAGAGGCACGTCCTTGGCCAGGGCGGCGGTGGTAGATTCGGGGGTAACAGTGTTCATGACTGCGGCGGAAGTGTCCTCCTTAACGATTTGATCGGGGTTCAGGAAATTGTTTACGTTGCCCTCGTGATCAGGTTCCTGAGGGGCAGTGTGGTCTGTGATCCAGTTGTTGTCGACAACAAACTATAGATGGGGGGAGAGAAAGCAAGTCAGTAAAAATTGCCAACGATGACGATGTTTTTAAGCGAAATCCGGTGGGCAGCACAGCGGTGGTGCAATGGGTCCTTTGGGGGGGGAAGATATGACGACGCGCGGCGAACCAAATGTGGGAGATCAACTGGGAGCGCGATCTGGGTATTGCCGATGGTTATAAAGGCCAGGTGAGGGAAAATGGCCCGTATTTGCCAGAACCAGAATCCAGGCAAATTGGAAGGCGGTGGTTCCTGGCGCGCTGCGCTATCGTTTGTTCCTTGGCCAAGGGCATGGCTGTTGGTTCCTGACCTGGGTTGGGTGGTGGTGGCCGTGGTGGTGCTTGTGTACCCTGGGTGCCTTGGGTGTGTCCAGGTGTGGGTGCCGTGTTTGGTAGCACCTAGTCTGGAAGGCTAGCCCCGAAGTTGCTAGACATTTTGGCACATTGTTGTGTGATGAAAGGTGCCTTGGTCCATGGTGGCTGCTGGATCCTGCCGCTCTCCGGTGTCTCTCTCTTTCTTGCTTGCAATTTGCGAAAAGGCCACACGCAGCTGCGAGCGCGACCTTACTCGCAGGGGGTCCCCGGTCGAGATTGACACTCTTTTCGCTCCCCACAGAATACAAAAGGAGCATTGAACCTGGAAAACCTTGTTCATTGCTTTTTTGAACTGTGGAAAAGCGGAGCTCCCACCCGCCGCTCTGCTCGGGATCCGCCAGCCAATATTGCTAATTGCCCGAGGCAACCACGCCGCTGCTGTGCTTCTGCCGCAGTAAGCTGCTGCAAGAACTGGTGGGTTTGCGTCATCCGGAGCCGGGATAGTCGGCCAGCAAGAGCCAACCTCCGAGACCCGCGTGTAATTCTTCTTTTTCTTTCTCCAATTTACCCATTACAGCCATATGCAGCGCCAGTCCGGGATATGTTTTGCAGCCCCGATTGCGCAGGCAAAACGTGGGCAGATAGAGCAGAAAAATCCAACGGGGGAGCAGCGGCGTTAGCGCGAAAAAGCCAACGCCGCAATGTGACCGTAGTAGCGATAGTAAATCGAGAACACCCTGGCAGAATTTGTGTGGCTCAGCACGGCGCGAAGCAAATTGCGTGAGAGCCGGGGGCCTGGACACGCCAAATTGCGAGATGGTGATAAAAGCCCGATCCTATGACGAGCCGCAAGCGAGCTGTGGCCTGCAGCTGACGGGGAAGCTGGAACTAGAGCTGCCCTGGTGGGGAGAAGCTTCCACCAGTAAATGGCCTGGCAGACCGTCCCTTCTTCCCCCTCCAAGACGGGGGAACAGCCATTGCGATTGATGGACAAGGGACCTGGACAGGTGCACGGATGCTGTCGCGGGCTGGGCGAGGCGGCGTCGCTGCTTTCGATCGGGCCCTTGTTCGCGCTCTCATTCAAACATTGCTTCCGCCGCTTGTGCTGCTGCTGCTGCTTTCGCTGCCCCTCCATGGCCGAGGGAGTTCCCAGAAATTGCGCGCCGTGATAAGGGATTCCGGAGTTGCCGTCGTGTTCGAAAATCCGCCCGGGATGAACCGATGGTTACGGGAGCAAGAAAAAGCGCCTGAATTGGCTGGTACGAACCTTATAGTAGATCTTCTCCGATGCGTCGGCGAGTGTGACGGTCTTCTCGAAAGAGCTGCCGACCTTTTCCAACTTCTCGCTCTTAGTCCAGTTGTCGAAAGTACCGGTAACGTAAACCTCCTCGGCCGGGTGAGCCCTATAGTGGGATACAGAGGTTAGCAAAGCTTTTAGTCCAACTGTGAGGCTTGCTTTTTCGCTGTAGACGATGCCAACGGTGTCAATGGTGGTGAGGTCGCCGCGGACGGGGCCCAAGGACCATGCGAAAGAAAGTTTGCATTTCACATGTCCGTCGACGAAAGCATGCAAGCCAGGCGCCGTTCCAAGCGCCGGACGGTAATGAAGCAATGCAAGGAGGTGAATTGGGCTCCCGTCGCATTCCAGTAGTGATGTAAGGGTAGAGCGACACAGAGAGATGCGCTGGCGGGGAGGGGGAAATGCGGGCAGAGTCGACGAGCATACCAGGTGAACTTGTAAGTGCCCATTGTGATGGATTTGAGGGCTGCTTCTTTTCGAAAGAGGGGCAATTAGAATTACTCGGGTGCGAGGGCCTCGTCGTCGGCAGGAACAATGTGAAGAGAAGGGCAGTTGAGGATTCGAAGCTCGAGTAACAGGAAGAAGGTAGGAAAGGAAGGGTTCGAGAGAGAAAAAAAAAAGGAAGAAAAGTTGAGAGGTGAGAATTAAGCGGCGGGAACCCCCAAAATTGCGCGCGTGGCAGAGAAATAGTTGCTGGGGTCGGGGGTGTGGGAAGGTGGGCGGCGCAATAGATAAAAGGTACTCCGTTCACTCACATACGACCGCGGACGAGCTGGCTATGAAGTGGTATGTGTGGTCTGAAGGTTGCATGCGCAGATGGTCCGGCCCAAGTCGACTTGACCTGAAGTGACAGGGCCGTACCTCATTCGGCGACGCCAGCGTCCAACATCGCGCTGGACTGGGCTACGATGTACTGGGCGCTGTGTGAGGTGCGTGGATTCTGCGGACCGTGGGCGGTCTGGACAGGAGTCTGAGGTGGTCCAGCCTGCAACCTGTCTACGTCTACACTGCGTCTGCGTCTGCGCGGGCTTGGGCGCGGGCTCCACAGTCAGACGTCCGCGGTGCTTGCTCATCAGCGGTGTGAAATATGACGACAACCGCATCAGTCTAGGCGCGTACACCTGATCCAACGGCCCAACGATGCAATGTTCGAGGCCGGTGTGTTATTAGTCACCTCTGCTCGTCGGTCAGTCGGTGAGGGTTAGCGGACGTGATTTCTAAGGGTTCTTCAACGGTCCATGCCTCTGGATATTTCCTCAGTCTCTCGTCTCGGCAGCGGAGTCATTGTCTACGACTCCAGTCTACCTTAGACATCACCTCTCTTCCGTCTCTTGGCACAAACAAAGAGCAAGAGCAAACCCCAACATGTGACCTGCAGCTTTGATGACATGTCCCAAAATATCCCAAAAGTTCCGAGGACCCGACTACGTTAGTCTCAAGGAAGGGTCGAGAAGGCGAGGCTTTGCCGTCACAGCGTAGCAGTGTCACAGAATGGGACAAGCGCAACAGCAATTACCCTTCCTCAGCGAACTTTGAATGGGCAAGGACCAGCCAGGAATTCTGAGCATTGTCACGGGAAGTGACTCCCAAGGCACCTACCTGCCTAGGGTAGGTAGCTAGGTGGTGTCTTACCTTACCTTGCTCTCCAGGTTACCTGACCTCACGGCAGTCACCATCAGGACGGAAAAGAACTAACATCCCCCCTCGTGCTTCCCACATTCATTCCCGTATCTTCCAGGTTGGCAAGTACCCTGAGGTAAAAGTACGAGGAAATGGAAGCAGGTGAGCCCGAAGAACCCCCACCATTGCTGTATCTCATGTATGAGCACCCAAAGATCGTAAGTGACTCCCAGCGATGTCGCATCCATCCACGGTCCGTCTCTCTTCGATCCACTCGGCGCCAGCAAATCAACATCACATCCATGATCACGACAACCACCGCCCAAGACCGCCACCATCAAGATCTGCAAACCGCAAATCCCTCCAACGCCCAGCCTTCTCTTTCTCTTCTTACTCAAGACATCCCCTGTGCTTCAATTTGCATCCTCACCGTTTCTTACATTGCCTCGCCTCGCCCCGCATTACCTTACCCTACCTTACCGTCGTACCTGAGCTATACCCTGTGCTAACGCAGACGTAACAGCCCAGAAATACCTCCGTCTGTGGTGTGTGCTTTAGACGTGGGATGAAGCTACCTTAGGCTTGCAACTGATTTCGAATGCCTCTGACTTTCCGACACTGCCGCACCAGACCGCCAGATACAGCACGCCAGCGTCCTCCTCGCCGCGGTAGTGGAGCCGCTCATTTACTGCCCAAGCCGCTTCCCTCTTGGAGTACCGAGTCGAGTCGAACACCTCTTCGCCCAGGGGGCGTTGCGCCTCCTGTGTCCATGTATCCTCGTCAGCTTTTTAATTTTTTTGCAACCGTTTGCCGCCATGGTGCCACCGCCGGTTTGATTTACACGTCCAATTCAACGCCGATGCGACACTAGAGCCCTGGGCTCCCAGGCCGACCGCCAGCCTCCCTCCGCCGGGGTCCCTTGATACACCTTAAGCCGCGTCAATTGCTTCCTTCCTTACCTTATCATCGGCTTAATCGTCTGCTAGAATCCTACTACGGCAAGGCATGGCAATCTGGCCTGGTCATTGTCTTCGAGCCGAGAATGCGCCAATGGCAGATAACATGATCTGATTCCGAAGAATCGCCCCCTTTCCCCTGAGTCATCCAGCCACCCAGCCACCCCCAGAGGCATATTTCACCTGCCATCTCTCAACGAGTAGTCTAGTACCGAGTAGAGGCCCAAATTATCACAAACCCGAGCACCCCTGGCACCAAGCCAGCCACCGCGCGCCAGCGCCATCCCTAACTCTGCTACTGCCGTCAGCCGCTGCAGCTACTTCTCTGACACGGCGGTCCGAACACCTGAGCCCTGCAAATGCTGACGCATCAGACGCGACCTCCGAGGCGAACGTCTGGCGTTCCAATAGCTTACATCTCCTCGCGAGCTTCCTCTGCAAAAGTCCCCTTACCGGTATTCTTACATCATACTGCTTCCCACAGCATGGAATCGTTTGATGCTGCCATCTCTTCGATGCGTCGTGCTTTGCCAGGGTCTGCTAGCTAGTACTGGACAGCTCTGACCAAATACATTCTTGACTTTGCTCCGATTGCACGTTGCGGTTGAGCCTAGATGTGGCACTGTGATTTTCCGCTCTCGACCGGCTTCACGAACCGATCTCATCTCCCAAGATCTTACCGCGCCAGAGAATTGCGGGGAAGAAGGGGTGGAAGCTCCAGACTTAGACAAGGACGGTTCCCGAACTGAGACAACCCTAGGCCCTCGCCATGGATTGATGTTCGATCACGCGCCCAATCTCCTCCATAGCCTCAATCACGGACAACGATGACCTGCTCTGCCCCCACTCACAATTTTTCTTTCGCGCGTGGGAAAGGCCCCAAAACTGCTGCGAAAAGACAACATGACGCAAGTTTCGGCAATTACACCACAGCAGAGGCTGCATTTGGGGCCCGGTTGAGTCTCGCTGATTTGATGACCGTCGACTCACCCAGCACACCCCTGCCAGCTTCCCGCTTTCGTCACCTCGGGTGTTCAACCGATGTCGCAACATGAGCAAATCCAAAGGGAACTGCTCCAGGTGGCACGAACTCATGCTTTGTCCGGTCTGTCCGCCACCCTGTTGTCAACACGTTGAAAGAGATCAAACTTCTCGAAACTTACAACCGTCCGCCGCCCCTTTCGTAAAACTGCTCTGGGGCAGGCCCCTCTAGGTTTCATGAACGTGTGATTTTGTCCACTTTACGACGGTTTCGCTTTCAGGGGGTTGAGGCGAACAGGCTCCATTCTCCAGAGTTTAAATCGAAGAGTCGACGTCAGAGCTCCTGCACGTGTCAAACATCAGATGCAACCTCGTTTCGTTTCGAGCCTATCGTGCGTTGCATTTTCCCACTAGGGAACGTATGTTGGATGGTCGAAGCTTCCCTTGCTTAGCCTAAACATCTTCCTTACCTGCCGATAATAGCCGTTGGAATGGCGTTCGCGGTCCATGGCTGTTCTCAAAGCAGGCATACCAAGCCATTTAATGCCTTGTGGATTATTCGCGTACACCACAGCAGGACAACGGCGATATGTTCGATCTACTGGTGGACAACACGCCTTGGAATCCATGTCCCTGTCACGTTTTGGCGGAACGCTGTGCGCCAAGGTATCATTGAATTAATGCACCAATTTTCGTTCAAAATGTTGCCAATTCCTGTCTTAAACAGTTTAATCTGGTTTCGTTCTTGTGCTAGCCACATTCGATTGGAAAAATTCAACATGGTCTCCTTTTCTTCTCTTTCATTCTTCTTTCTTAAGATAATGGTGCCTCTGGTAGCTGGGAGGAGGAGAACCACAACACGAGAATGTGAGGTTGAACTACTGACTCCAATGTGTGGCTTTGCCATGTGATGGTTTTAATGAGTATCTCTCTATATGTCATCTTCCATAAGGTATAAAGTACCTCTTAGCCGTGGCATTGACGCCATATCGAGGCCAGCTTCGCGCTCTATCTTATTGTCATCTTCATTCTGCAAGACGCTCATTTCGACGAATTCCGCGGGTGTTTGTTAACGTGCGTTTCTTTGTCAATGTGAGATAGGACCGGCCACGGGTCGTCGACTTGGGGGCTCTCTACCTCAGTGTCTGAAGTGTATCCAGCGTTGAATGGCCACCCAGAAGATTAGAATGCTGTGCGATGATGAATGTTTCAACCCCTGCTACCCTGCCTCGGAGCCGTCAACGAGACTCACCGCGAGGAGCTCATTGAGGCTCAAAATGCTCGCGGAGGAATCTGTTGCGGGGCTGCGGCGACATTGAAGCAATATTGGAGAGAGGACTATGACGCTTCGATGAATCAACATGTATATTTTTTATCTTATGGAACAAGGCTGGTGAGATGTCTATTAAGCTATTGGATCCAATGGTCCATGCAATGAATATTTCCGGCCTTGGTTACTGGAGTGTTTACAGGAGGACATGTGTATGCGCTCCGAGGAAAGTTGCCATACAAGCAGTACCTTCCCCTGCCACAGACATAGATGAGTAGGTTTTCATCTTGCCCAAATCCGAGAAGTACATTTCTTTCTCTGTGTGAATGGCAGTTCCATAGTCTCGTGTGGTATGGTGGTATGGACTATCCCCGGCAAGCAGGCTGGCTACAGGCCGATACCTGGCACGTGGTGATGGCGACGAAGGGCGTTATGCATCCGGACTGGGGAAAGGTCTCAGTTCACCGTATTTGGAGTGTTCTCTCGGGGTATGCATGACCAGCTGAGGGAGACTTCTGTTAAAGGATGGGATGCTGATGGTCTTTCTCGTAAAAAGAGGGTGACCATCTGAGATGGGGAGAACATGGGGCAACCATAGTCCATCGCTTCCTTGCACCTGGGGATGTGACAGTGATATTCCGGGACCTGGCGAGGTCGAATCAGGAATCGATGGAAAAGGTCATGCGTTTGTTGGGTTTTCCAGCTGTGAGTGAGTGAGGCTCTTGCATCCCATCCATATCACGAATTTTTGGGTGCTCCGATCAACATCATGGCGTGGAATAGAAGAGGGGGAACATAAGCGTCAACTGTCATGAATGATCAACATGCATCACACGGACCTGGATGGTTACACATTGAGCGTTGTCTTCCATCCTCATCCTCATCCGCAATTCGAAGCTCGGGGGTCCAGCTCGTGCCAGCAAGATCGGGTCTATGGAGTTTAGTATAAGTAAGAGGCACTAGGATACATGAAGGCCGACTCTGGGAGTTTTTTTTTTCATGGCTAGGTATGGGAGACAACTGACGTATCTTTTCATTTTCAGATTAGTCCTGCTTCGTGTTGAGATTGAAATAGGTGCAGGAGACGACCTGAGCTAGAGAACACTCTCGAATCATGACTTGATCGTCGCTCAGGGGACCAGTTCCGCACGCAACTTTCTCATCAGTGCTCTGCACACCCAAGAAATGTCTCAGTTCGCGTTGCTGTTCATCGAATAGGAGAGGACTGACTATGTTGCTAAATGATTAAGTTGCTTGGCTTGCTAGGAAATCAACAGGCATAGTAACGAGTAAGGCTGTATTCACCGCTTATGTGTTTGTACGTTTACAAAGAGTATGTCCAAGAAGCTTTCCATGGCGCCGGCGCCAAACAGAATGTCGTAGTAGCGTGTTCCCAGTTCCGCCAGCGTCCAACGCGGGGGTCGCGACGCCGTGTAGTTGCTTCAGCCAAGGATTGACCCTGGTCATCGTTTACTAGACTATCAAGGAATACTAAAGGTGCGTTCCTCATTTGCTCTCCGTCCGTCTCTAATTCTCGTTCCCGACGTATTCATCGTCGAATACTCATAAGAATACTGAAAAAGGAGGTGTGAAGTATGGAAACCCGGGTTTCAGCTAGTGGGTTTTCTTTTTGAGCATCCTCTCGACGCCGCGGCTAACAATGCTGAACATCCATACCGTCTCGTCCAGACAACATGTGTGGTGCCAGCCGGCGATTGGTGAAATCGACCGTCGTTGACTTACCTATAGTGGAGCCGAATGTGTAGCCCTTTTTAAAAGTGAACGCGCTTGCGGGAGGGGGGTTTGTCGGGAGGATCGCAGACACTTTGCAGTCAGCAAGATCAGGCCAGTCTTACAGCCACGGAAGCAGCAAGTGTTGGTTTGCTGTAGTTTTGAGGATTGCACCCTTGGAATAACACACATCAAGAGGCACGACATGAGAGGCGGGCTGGAGGGTAGGAAAGGGTCACGGAAGGGTTATATGAGTAACTCCTTTAGGCAATCTATAGAACTCGAGCGAAGTAAGCTCCCCGTTCGGTTCCATTCCGTCTTGAGAACGACCTAGGAATTACGTCATGGATTGGGATGCCCGCCCAGGGTGAGGCATATCTCAACCCAGCCAAGAATTGCCGCCGTAAGGGCAGGCACACATCATCACTGAACCCAATGTCGCCGAACAGAGTCCGAATGCAGAGGAAAACCAGGTGGTACCCCACGAGTAGTATTGCCGAGTAACTAAACAATCATGGCAACGACTACGACGACAAGAACAACTTCGTAGAGAGCCTCAACGGCCTCTCAGCAACTTGGCATCACTAGCCTGCCACTAGAACCTCGCAAGATTATAATCGACTTTTTAGACCAACGTCGAGAGCGTCTAGATGTCTGCTTCACCAGCCGCTAGAAAATCAGCCCAAGACCAGAGAACAGAGAGTTTATTATTTCCTGCTGAACCCTCGTCTCCACAACAGAAGCTGACATGGAGAACGGCCAAACGAATCTTTTTCGTGTGCACATTTTGGTCTCTCGGAGCTCCCCAAGTCGTCTCCCATAGGTGCCTTCAAAGTAAGCATAAGCACAGTGGTGCCATACCTCCAAGGGCATCTCCCCCCTTGAGCCTTACCCCAAGCAACCGTCGCTTCAACGTCTAGCTCCAACCATTCATCACGGGTCATGAAAGTACTCTGCACCTCTTTGTATATGTACATCATTTCGATGTATATGCTCTTCTAAATCTAAACAGAATCGCAAAAGCTAAAACAAAAGAAGGAGCACCCATCAAAGTTGGTGATCTCCTTCACATGCTAGCAAAAATGAAAAGGAAAATAGCCGTTTTTACATTTCTCTCCATCCTCCCGGAAATAATATTTCTCCTGCTTCTGCTCCTTCCGTCATAAATGTCGTAAGTGTGTACAATACAAATAGGTATTATGATCCTCTGGCCAAGTGCTCTTGATGTGCTGTGTGCCATGCCAAGGAAAGAAACGGGGGGGACCCAAGGAATAAAGCGAAAAAAAAAAAAAAGGTTTAAAAATGCGAAGAGAAATATGCAATGCTGATGCCAAATGTCAAATGCCAAAAGGGGAAAAAATGCTGGCCCCCATCACCACCATCATGTCCATCTAAAACCACTTCCAGGCGCAACCCTCCGCCAACTTACTCAGTACGCCAACCGCGTCGACATAGAGCCGGCTGCGATTGCCGAGGCAGTCCACCTCCAGCCATCTCCTCACGAGAGCCACGACCGTTGTAGCCTCCTTCTTCAAAGGCGTCTCCATGACGCTCTTGGCTTCCATATTCGCCATAGTGTGGATCCACTGAAGCGCCCCGCTGTCATTGTCGGATTCGCCGCGGCTTGCGTCGCCGCCGTTGATGCGGTGCCCGGTGGCCCAGCAGATGAGGGCGCAAACATACATACCCCAGTAATCCGAGATGTCGTCCTTCCACATCCGGGGTCGGCCCACCTCCCGTATATCCATGTCCTCTTCGTCGTCCGAGTCTTCTTCAGAGTTGCCGTGCTCGGTGAAGGCGCGGAGAGCCCGGCAGGCAAAGACCAGGGCGATGGTTGCGCTGCCCGAGTCGGTCCACTCCCTGAGCCGCTTCTTGTGCTCGTCAAAGTGTTTGGACTGCAGAACCTTTTGACTAAAGATCCAACTGTCCCCTGATACGGCCAGCAGGTCGTGAAGAGGAGTGTGGTGAAGGGCGAGGTAGGTGTTGGCCACGGGGCAGTGTGGGAAGATGCTGGCCATGCGGAAGATCTGCGGCTCTAATATTTCTATGGAACAAGGAATTTGCGCCGCTTCTCCACGCCGCGGCAGTAATAGTGCCTTGGAGGCTAGGATCACTGCGCGGTCAAAGGGGGCGTGTGCGGTGACCGTCGTTCTCGACAAGGTGTCTGGGTTGATCAGAGATAGGAGTGTTTGACCATCCAGAGAGTCTCCCTTGGACGAGACCATCGCCGCCCATGCATCGGCGCTTGGTGCATCCCAGAGATCCTGAGCTGGGCCGGTGAGCGGGATATTGGGTGGCATGCCATCGTTCATATCGAAGTTGCGGACTCTTGGCTGATCCAGGTAAACCGAGCTATGGATATCCAGGACGAAGCACGCTGAGAGCAGACGACGGCGAGCTTCCATATCGAGCCAAGTATGCCACCTGACGGTATTGGTTCCCGTCCGAGGCACGGCGCCAAATATGACTGCGTTGTCTGCGTTGTCGTATACCTGGAATGGAGGTTTAGAACTTGTTGCTGAGATGAAAGGACCAAACGTTTCAAGAAAAAAACCACGCAGTAAACAAACTGAAGCTAGAATAAAATGAAGTAGAGCAACATATCACAATGAAATGCAAAAGGGAACTCACCCTCGAGTACACGGACTCAAATTCTTTCGATGGCCTGATGGCTGCTCTTCGGCCGCGGAACCGCGCGAAGTACTCACATAGCAGAATCGCTTGCATGACAGATACATCCCACTGGAGGAACTAGTTACCCGCAATATTAGTGAAATGCTTTTGATTATGGAGCGTGGCCTTGTCAACTTACACGTCTGGATTGTTGCCAGGCATATTCATGCAGCTGATCCCCCCTGATGCGATCCTCCTTACCACTCATGTATTGAGTCGCCACTGCAGCCATGGCGCAGCGAAGCACTTCAAACTGCTCCGCCGCGTCCTCGAAAGTCCTTCGGTGTACGATTGGGAATTGGGGGTGAAACCTTTCCCAGTAGACATCGAGGTAGGCGGGAATGGCTCTGCAGATCGGCATAGGCAAGGAGCCCTGCATCAGGGCCGGGGCCGCCAGGAGGCCCAACGCCACCTCCTTCTGACGGCCCAGACAGGCAAGTGAGTTCATCATCCGGTCCGATGGTAGTGCCGTCGACGGGGTGACTAGAGTTTCACAACTTTGAGCCGATGCCGACGTCACCGGCGGGGTCAGGCTACGAACAGTATTGGGGAACCGTGGCTGTTGTTGAGGGTCACGGAATGTCTGCTCGTCAGAGTAGGTAGGTATGGAAGCGCCGAGCATCGGATACATATGTGAAGTGCTGAGCTGGGGGGAGGTCGGGTATTGGTAGAGCATAGAGCCGGTGGCTCCGATGGCGTCGTATCCCCCTGGGCAAGGCGAAAGGAGGCCATTTGACCAGTCGTTTGCTGCCGTCGGCCAGAATGCGCGTCGAGAATTATCGGAAGGCGTTGAATAAGTGCTGTCGGAAGCTGAAGATGGCCAGCCAATGGGGTCCTGAGCGTGTGAAAGCTCGGGCGGTGCATCTGGAGACATTTGCAGTCCCAGCCCCTGAGTCTGGAGATACAGCGGACGATACTCGGGCGTTGTACGAGGTTGGTATTCGATGGAGGAAAACGACGGAGGGGTGTTGAAGCCGCTATTTGAAGGTTGTAGGATGGGTTGTTGTGGTGATTGGCCAGACAGAGAGTAGCCTCCGCTGTATCCAGGACCACCAGATGAAGGGCGATAGCTGTCGTTTCCCATGTGGGGAGACAAAGACTTGCTGACATCGGGCGCGCTCATGGACTGGTATGTTCCAGGATGCGACATACTCGATGTAATTGGGAGGCCGTGGATCGGCGTTGTTGCGTTCGTAGGATAGCCAAGCAAGGGAGGTTGCAATCCCATGCTGCGGACTCCTGCGTCTAGAGAGGCGGCTGAGGTCCGACGACTTTGGCTTCCTCCTCTGCCTCTCGATGCTTTGTCTCCTTCGAGCTCACTTATACGAGTCAGAGATATTTTTAAATTCAGAGGTGGAAACTGAGGGTAAACTAACTGTCGTTGCTGATGACGCTCGAGTAGGTCCTTGCGGTGGAAAGCCCTATCGCAACCCGGAATTGAGCATCCATACTGGGGAGTTTCGTGGCTAAGCTGGTGCCGTCTAATGTCATCAAAATTCGTCAGTCGGAACAGTGCTGTATGAAGTAACCTTCGTAAGCCTACCGTAGATGCTCAGCGCGTGTAAAAGTCTTAACAAAAGTCAGTGGATGCCTCAACGGTTGAAAAAGCCACGCTGGCGTACCTTTGGAGGACGACAGTGGTCGCACGTATGAACCTTCATGCCTTTCTTTGCCCTACTAACCCGCCCGGTGATGGGAGTCAACTTGACAGGAACGTCTCCTCCAGGTGGCACGCCGCCAAAGGGTCTCATGGGCTGGCCAGAGGGATCAAGGCCGCCGCTGGAGGGCCCTGCGTGGCCGTATCCGTAGTTTGGTTGCTCCATTGAGTCGGTGCTAACGTTGCTTCTTCGACGAGTGTTGACTGGTCGGACAGACGAAGACGACGAGCCTGTGGTGTTAGATTTGGTGGTGCGGGAGGATGAGCTCCGCTTCGTGCCGTGTGGTGTGCTTGAAAGGTCTGGTTGTTCTCCGCCAGTCGCATAACCTGTGTTGTAAACTGCGCTTGGTGCCAAGTAGGGTTGATGATGTCTGCCTGATGGAGCCGGGACCTGGTCGTTCTTAATAGTGTGGGATTCGAGTTGGTCCTCGTCCACGTTCATGATATCCTGGAGGCTGGCCATGGTTTAAGAATCCCAAAGGGGAAGTGTAGAAGACCGAGATGCAGAGTGGTTGCACCCAGAGAGGAAAATGCAGAGGAAGCAACACAGCCAAAGTTAGTAAGACACAGCCCGGCTGAGTGCTTTCCTCGGAATAGACTGAAGGCGAGTGAGCGTAGTTGGAAAGCAACCCCCAAACATGAAGAAGCAGTGTGAATTGGGGGACAGTCAGGGTCCAAGAGGGGGGTGTCGGTGTAGAAAGGAAGACTAAACTGGGGTGGATGGAGGGCAATTAGATAAGGTAAGGTACGGTAAGGCAAGGCAAGGCAAGGTAAGGACCTAGGTAGGGGGGCGGTTCTTGGACTGTCAGCCTGTCCAACAAAAGGCTGGGGGTCGAGGTGAGATGCAGAGAGCAGTTGGTTCTAAGCGGAGTCGATATGCAATGGAACTGAACGAAGAGAAGAGGTAAAGATAGTGGTGCTGTTGCTGCTGCCGCTTGTTGGAGACATTGCTATATTGAGAAGAGGCAGATGCAAGTTCGTCCGAGTGAGTGGCAGAGAAAAGAAGGAGATGACAGCTCTTCAAGGAGGCTGTTCTTCTTAGAGGCCTCGCTTCCCCTGTCAGCTGTGTGTGTGTGTACATGGGTATTCAAGGGTGTTGTACACGGAGTGACATGGAGGTTGCTCGAAAAAATGCAAGGCACTCCTTCGAAGGGTATCGGCCGAGCTGGGGTTCGGTCACCCACCAGTCTTTGGCCTCGGGTTGATTGGTTGAGTGACCAGATGCCTGTCATACGACTCAGCCCTCTCAGGCTGGCAGACGGGACCCCATCCCACGGTCCCGCGCAGCGTTTCTCTCCAAGTTTGGTATGAAATTGCCGCGATGTCACGGAATGAGCGCGTCTGGGATCTCTGCCACAACCCAAGGAAAAGCCGCGGCCAAGTCAAGTAGCCGCGGTTGATGACGATGGAAGGATGGTCATGTTTCCATTTTGACTCTGTCTCTCCGTCTCGTCTCGTTCGTGTCTCTCCTCTTGTCTAAGATCTGAACCAGATCGACCGAGTCGCATGTCGGCGAGACCCCAGAACCCACAGTTCAGACAGACGTCTTCATTTCCCCTAGACAGATAGATATCCATCTTGTCGCTGACTTATTGACCCTGCCAATGGTGGAAACGCCTGTGCTGCATAACAAGGCCGCCATTTCAACAGGAGACAGCGCGGAGGTCTCAATGAGGAATAGCAACATGCGGTAATGGCGTCACTGTGTAGATACGAGAGAAAGAGCGGCGCCAAATGGAGCGCGGTCATTCCGTTTCCCACAAGTAGCGGCCGCTAGCGTCCGTGGTGGGAAAGTAGTGGTTGTGAGTGCGTTTTTTCTGGGGGAGACGCTGGACGGAGTAACAGACAGTGAGAATTCTGCGAGGAAAAAAAAAATGTCAGACGAAATGAGGCGCAGTCCCGACCGTAAAGTAAACCGTTGCCATTGCTGTACATGCATGAGTCGGCTGCCTTGTCAACAACCCCTGCTAGACTGGCTTGCCCTTTTTGGATTTTGACTTTGCAGGGCATCCAGCCCAACATCCAGTTCAGCGAACAGCGGGAGATGTAGCGGAGGGCCGCGAAGGCAGCGGCCAACTGGCGTGCGAGTTACACAATTCGTGTGGGCAAGACGGCACCATGAACCCTCTTCCTGGTTGTGTCTCGCGTCTGACTGCGTGTCGAGGTCGCTTTTGCTCACCGCGACGGCAGAGAATACACGAGTCTTGTGACCCTTTGACTGTGGAATGGCTATAAGCAAATACTGCACGGACAGGTACTGTAGTTGTGACCGTGTGCCTGCGGTCTATTTTGAACTCTGGCGCATAGCACAGCTCATGCATACAGACACAGGGAACCATTTGACTTGCCGTTCTCGCGACCGACTGCGGCGCACAGAGAAGTAGACAGCATGATGTCAGCCTGGCCGAGGACCGAGGAACCCAAATAAAGCAAATTGAAGGAGTTGACCATCTTGTGCCACGATTCAGGGGCTTCCGAGGTTGAAAATTTCCGCTTCCTTGCCTTGCTGGATCGTCAGGACTCCGAGTTGCGGGCACGGAGGAAGAAGCCGATCATATTGAAGCAACAATCGGAAGGTTCGCCGATGGTCGTGGGGTAATGAAAAGCAGCATCAGTCACCCAAGGTGAAGGCGGCGAGCGACCGAGCACTTGACTGCTGTCAGTCTTTTGACGCCAATACCACAAGAACGCCATGCAGCAGCCGGCCCGCTTAGAAACATGGGAGAAGTAGGGCAGCGGACAGGGATAGCCCAGAATCGGCGGGGACGGCAGGGGCTCAGGCGCAGCCCAGTGCCTCATTGGTATGCCGAGGGACGAATTGCCTGTCATTGGGGACCTATTTTGGTGTCATCGAGTTTGTGTGCTTCCAAGTGCGTCGTTTACTGCAATAATTTTGAAGCCAAGGCGATGGCTAAGTCGAGCGCAGAGTGTACGTTAGCAAGTAATCTATGTGGTGTGGCAGAGGGATGGAACTATCAATGCCACAATACAATATTTGGATTAAGCGTTGGCGGCGACGAGACGAGCTAACAAGGCGCGTTGGGCTGTCCGTACGTATGTCCACCAAATTGCTGCACAGCATCTCGGGTACCTTATCGAGGGGGGAAGAAAAAAGATCTTTCTGGCGAGGGTCGGCATGGGCGGTGGAGGTGGAGTTTGTCCCAACGGGGGCCACACCGACGGCCTGGGCCGGCTGCAGGGACAGACGGGACCCGATTGCGGACTGGGGGCAGCGGTCCCAGTCAAGGGATGAACAAACGGGCAGCGCGAGATGCGACGTCGGGGCAGGAATTCTTCAGTGTTTCAGTTGCTGTACCTTACTTCCATGGCTAGTGCTGTCGTCGCTACGAATGCCCGCAAGTGTTGGGGTCCGAACCGGCTTCATGGCAACAGACGCATCGGATCGCAACGGAGGCGGCCCTGTAGGGACCCACAGGGTCTCGGGCAGATCAGCTTTCGGGGGAAAAGATCAGGGGCAGACGGATCACAGACGGATAGATGTGATCCGTCTGTTTTTCTCTGTTGGGGGCCGGACCGACCGATGATGAGCAATATACTGGCGAAACCTTAAGTCTCGGAGGTGGGCTCCCGGTAAGGGGCCTTGCGGGCATCTTGCGTGGATGGGGTCCGTTTCAGGATTCGATATCACGGGTGCATGATTCGGACTGTCGTCGAGAGCTGGGAGAGGCAGCTGGAGCTGAGCCCTGAGGTGACGCAGCGATGGGTCGATAAAGAACGGAGTGATAGGTACCGCAGGGCGAGAATAGGATCGCATTTCGGCAGTGGATGTGGCATTTGTCGGTCACCCGGCTCTCTCGAGCACCCTCGCTGTCCTTGCTTGCGATTCGCTTCTGCTACGACTTGCAACGCCACGAAAGAGAGAGCTACCATAGCTAGTAGGTCGAGCTCTACGAAGCTTCGGAGTAGCGGGCGCAGGCTTCCAAGTTTTAGTTGGTCGTCAACTGTCTCGAGTCGGATGGTGGAGAGGCGATAAGTCACGTCGTGAACGGGAAGAGGAAGGATCGACTGGACCGTTGTGACTCTGGTCCATTGTTCCTACCTTTACCACCTTTACCATCTGTGCACCTTTACCGCCTTACCAACCGTACCTTCCATGGCTGGACCGCAGATTTCCCGAAGGCAGCAACACCCGACTGGGGCCTCAGACTAGGTATCGAGTCTGCTTCGCTCTTGCCAACATCACTCACGCTTCGCTCGTCGCCGTTGATGCCTTGCCATTTGCCATTCCGTCCGTCCACATTTGCCCACTTCGCTTGCACATCGAGGTGAGCTTCACCATCCAACGCTTTCTGTGCCGCTCTGCACCTGGATTCCTACTACGACCCTTTGGCTTGCACACCGTTGCATTTCCTTCACGGCGCATGCTTTTTGGTCGAGGGCGTCGGTGTCCATCACCTCTGCGCCGCGTCGCGTCCAGCCAAGATGTAATTCAACACGGTGGAGAGAATCCCCGCGGGAAGTTGCCGGCACTCTCTCTCGAAATGGCGGTATAAGTCATGACATTGCAGCACACTGCCGCCCTGCTTCTGGTCTTGGCTCATCTTCGGTACCGACACTTGACACTTTTACAGGTATTGGGTAATGAAATGCCTGCCCGGATGGATCACCTCAAGCGACTGTGAAAATTGAGTTGGTCCCCACTGAAAATGCCTGCCAGGCTCATTACCTAAGGTCATATCCGTAAGGTGCTCATCCTCTTGCGGCTTGCCATGGTTTGGTTCAAACTTCAAGGCAGGGCAGGGGGAAGGTGAAGGGTAAGGAGAAGGAGGAACAGGGGTCGGCGCTTAACCCAACGGTATTTTTAGCAGCCGACTTCCGTGTCCCGGCCTGATCCCGTTGGCTGACTGCCACACCGACGACATTTGGGCAGGGATGACAGCACACCCACTTCGTCCCAAAAAGAAACCAAGCTGTCAACGGCCGCGGCGACCCCATTTGTTCAAGCTTCGTTTGACCTAGACATCCAGCATGAACGCGGAAACGAAGCGGACCGACCTTTGCCATGCACGTCTAGCACTCCATACTTGAAATTTGCATCATCACCACAATATGTCAACCCATCGACGGAATCCAGTTTTTGATCTGCATCATCGATGAAAATTTTTGCACCTCTTTATTGTTGACGCGTTGCTTAGCGACGTTTGACAAGGGAACGCCGGCACCAACGGCTCCCCGCTTCGTAAAGAGGAGGAGGTGGGCAACATACTATGTATCCCTCTCGTCTCGTTACATACCATCATATCATCCTGCCCGGCATCGTTCTGCGGTCGAGACAATCCTTTGGGACAAGTGCTGCTATCAACAACCTGGACATTCCAAGCCCCGGATGCCACTCCGCGCACCAGGCAGCGAGCTAAATGGGCGGCCCGGATCCAAATTGGTACCCTGCCGTTGCCCACTGTTCTCATCTGCAGCCTGATCCAACCAGTTGGTTCTGCCTCCGTCATCTGAACTATTGTACCGCTTGTCGGCCCAGCTGCGAACCGTGTGGCACAGCTCGGATACGTCCACTAACAGTGTCGATTCGGTTGCACCACACGCTGCAGACGGTCACGGCATCCATGCCTCGTAGCAGACCAGCCTCTTGAGGCGCTCACGGCATAGCCCGATCCACGATGCATTGCATCTCTTCCCCTCCCGTCAGCACGGTTGTTGCATGTCATAGGGCGGCCAAGCAAGCCCCAGGATCGACGATCGCACACTAGATATTCTCTCCTCACCAGACTCTCTTCCCCCAACTTTGCTCCGGTCGAGGCAAGACACCCACCCCGCGGCTTTTCTCTCGGTTGTAATGTCAGCCAACCCGCATCAGCCACAGACGCCCATTGCAACATACCGTCAAGGCTATCTATCGCTGGTGCTGTCGTTCACTTACCGCCTTGCTGCAAGTCGTCAGACAGCTTCACATAATCGATGACCGAATGTCGACTTGCCCGCGCATGTCTTTGCCGCCAGAAGCGCCTGTCCAACTCACTGACCGAGAGAACCGAGGAAATGGGACTCTCATTGTCTTCCGATGGCCGACCGCGTGGTCTGTCTCGAAGCCTTCTCTGAACAGATTTCGTGGACTCCAAATTGTTCGAACCCATGACAAAGCAAGGCGAGGTCCAACTCAACACTGTGCTCAGACGACAACGACCAGGGGATGCGTCCAAAAACCTTTGAGTGTTCCTCTCGGAAGTAGTCCATGCCCGCAACTGAGCTGATGAATCTTGCGCTGCAGCTCTTCGGCCGTTGGAAGGATCCAGTTGAGCGGCCCGGAGCGAGGGATTCCTCGTGTTCCTGTGCACTAAGGCGTGTTTGCCATGCTCAGCACATGGCCTTGACCAATCCATTTGGGGTCTTTCCACCAATGAAGCTTGTTGTATAGTCTGCGAGCCGTAGCCGTACTCATCCGAGGAGTGGGCTACAACCTGAGAATTCTTGCTGTTTGCCGGTGCCTTCTCATCCGAGATGAAGGACAGATTCTCGAGATGCAAGCCACCAGAATCTTGGGGCGGTGCCTCGGTAGGAAGCCCGTGAAGGAGCCAAGCCGCTCCTCTGCGTGGGGTAACACGCGACGCGGCTCTGGATATCCGCACTCCCTTTATCCATCTGATCACGGCTTAGCCTTCCCGTCACGCATATCACATCACATCGCCAGACTCAGCCCCCATTACCCACCATGGGCGGTTAGAGTCACCAACCCCAGGACAGTACTTTCATACTGGAGACCTATCGCCTATCACCCAACTACCGCACTCCAGGTTGTCCACGCCCTTGGAATCACATTTGTGCACAACGAGCCACGCGCCTGGCGCCAAAATTAGCGCAGCCGACATACTCCGTCTTGGAGAGATGTCATTCCCTGTGCAGAGGCAACAACACTCGGCGTCCCACGCTGCCGCCTTGTCGCCTAAGGGAACATTAAGCGCCATGCCCCGTGTTCGACCTTTGGCTAAATGTACCTGCTTGGCGGGCGCGGACCCCATGATGCCACGCACATCCGAAGGATCAGCTGTCGAAGCAGCTTTCATGATGCGCAGCGGATGGTCTCCGTTCGCGGAACCGAGCTGCAGGAATGCAGGTACCATGCTCGAGTCGGAGTGCGGCGAAACTGGGCCAAGTCATCAGCCGGTAGGTGGGATGCAAGGTACGAGTAGTAGCAGCCTAGTGACTATGCGAATCTCAGCCGTGCCATGATGTCGAAACAGGACCCCAACGCGGAGCTGAGCAAAATCGCAACGTCAAAACCTCGTGTTCGAAATCAAGCAATGCTTTCAAGGTCGAGAATGCACGAATTTATTGCCTCTTTCGTCTACGGCTGCAAGACGACGGTTCAATTCTGTCATGAAGATCATGAAGGGAGTTGGGTTGGAGGGGAAGACTGTCAAGCTTGACATGGCAATGGCTGATCCCATGGCGGTGACCTACAACAAGCGTTGCCGAACACCCCCTCCCCTGGGCGGTCATCAGCGAGCGCGGTGTTCATCACTTGATCTCAACGACTTCCAACATCATCATGTTCAGTTGGAACGGGCGAACTAGCTTGCGGCCGAGAAGTTCACATCCCGCCTGACCCTGATAGGCTCACTCGCCAGAGACTCGAGTGCGAGTCCGAGGCTGTTGGAACTTTTGATTCATCACTGAGCGGTAGAGCAATGGAACACCGTGCCAACCTGCATTCTTCAACTATCTCGCCACATCGCGGCCCGGGGGCACGAACCCGGCCCCCGGTCTGTCGCCATGGTGTCCCAAGGGGAACACTCGATGGGCCAACCTTTGTTGGTAGGCAGGTCTCCGGTTAACCATCTCCCTGGCCCTCCAACAGGACGCGAGTGAGAAACATGCGACGAACTGTACCGTCAGATGAGGCCGCATCCTGTCAACCAACGCCCACGAACGTTGGCCCCGGGGGAGTGACGGGGGAAGGGGGGTTTCAGCGTTCAGCCTCACGATGCGCCCAGCGGCCTGGGCGGACCCATCCGCTAAAGATGACGGGTCGACGGTCTGCCAACGCCTTCCGTCCGTCTACTTGAAACAAAAAGGCCTCGATCCCATGAGAATGGGAGCGCCCCCAACTGATCAGCCGGAATGGGCTCTCGTAGTATGGATACGACTGTACGCCAACCAGTGTCTGGCATGAGAGACGTTTTGAGGATGGCGGAAATTCCACACCCCTCTCCCCTTTCCCCCCCCTGGAAACCTCATGAAGAGATCATGCTTCCTGCCTACGACGTCCTGGGATGTCAAGGCAGACGCATGTCGGATGTGACGAAACGCCAACGAGCCGAGTATGCCGTGGTAAGGCAGAAGAAGTGTGATAGCATCATCGTCTCTTGTGAATCACATCATGCTCATCGCCTACTGGAATGGAGGTGTAGTCAAAAGTTCACGCGAGCGGCTAAATTTTGGGGGCCGGTAGAAAAGTGTAAAACGATTGTGACACGGCACGGAGCAGACGTCGGTCACTGCCCAGATTTCGCAGGGTGAGTTGTGTGTGTGTGCGTGTGTGTGAGCGCGCGCAGGCGAGGTCACCTTTGATTCTTTTTGGCTTCAGCCCGCAAGTCACATAGCGAGAGTAAGCGCAGGGCTGCGGGAGGGAAAAGGAAGGGAAGGGAAGGGAAGGGAAGGGAGCGGGAGGAGCAAAGCTCAACGGCTGGCTTCCCGAAGCCAGGTCCATCCCGGCATCAGAAGCTCTGGTCCAAAGTTGGGATGAAGGGGGAACCCCGACTGTTTGCCACTTTGCGAGTACGAGACTCTTATCTTATTTTGCCTCGCATGAATACAACCGAGGCTTCGTGGCCGATTGTGAATGGAGCGCGCCTTAGGTAGTTGGCTAAGAGCGTCTAAGTATTGTCTCATCAACAAACCTATCTACCTTGGGGAGCTGAGGTATAGACCAGTCACTGAGCAGGTGGATCTTTCACTTAGCCTTGTGATGTCTATAGTGCACAGCTTCAACTGACCCGAACTAGCTCATGTAACCGACAGGTGGACTTTGCTTCTTCTGCTTTCGACAATTTGAGTTTTTTTTGGGGGGGGGAGGTGACAAGATAGCTATGTAATAGTAGCAAATCTCTATGCAATAGAATAACCAAACGTAGGGGCCTAGCAATAAAGTTGCCCTCTCGAAGATAATGTAACAAGACACTCTCAAAACGCCATTCTCTTCTTTTTCGACAACGAAGAGTGCCCAACAATAATAAGTACAACAGGCAGCTAGTCAAAACGGGGTGGAGGTCGTGGGTGTGTGTGCTCCAGCATCAGTCTCTTTCGTTTTTTGTGTAATCCATTCCCCGGTTCCTGTCCTTGGTTTGTTTCCCCCTATCCTCGCCCGGCGCAATGAGTAATTAGTTTCCATGACGGAAGGATGGGGTGGTGGATTATGAGGCGCTCGCTGTGGCGACGGCGGACTTTTGGGGAACGACGCGGCCGCGGGGACTCTTGCCGTCGCTCTCTGAATCGTCGTCACTGTTCCGGCGGCTCGGGCTGTCTTGCTCGCTTCTCCTGCTCTTGGTCATCTGCACATAATGTAGGTCAGCCAAGGTTACACACCTCAAGCGTACAATGTGGAACGGTTTCCAATGTAAAGGATCAAGGAACAAAAACGTACCCATGAACGGACGCCACCGACGAGACCCAATGCGTAGCCCGTGATAAAGTCATTGGACTGCGTCGCGGCGGGTGTGCCGCCAGGCGTGGTCGGTATCTCGACGCTGAGGCGGGACTTGCTCGCGTTGGCGCTTGCGGCGGCGAGGAGGTCGCCGTTCTGGATATAGGCGGTGCGGGCGGCGGGTGCGGGGGATTGTGGCCTAGATGCGGGCCAGAACTGGCGCAGCTCGCGGGAGAGCTCCTGGCCGGTGGTGGACCAGTTTGTGCGGATGTTATCGCGCAGCTCCTGAACGTGGCGCTTGAGGTCGAGCTCGTTCTTCTTGATCCAGCTGACGTTGAGCTCCTGGCGTGACGTGCCGCGCTTGAACTGCCGAGCAATGTACTTTTCATAGTCGCGGACGATCCTGGACAGGATATTGTTAGCCCTTGTTTCTAGCCATACTCTACAAACAGCAACGCAGAGACTAAGACAGTGGGAATTGATCATATAGGAGAAACATACTTGGTAATGATACCTGTCGTGCTAACTCCTTCCGTGCGCTGGGTTACGAGGAACTTGCCGGCCTCCTTGATGGGCCTGTAAATGTCGTCGCCCTCGTCGGCGCCGTAAGGCAGGTCGTCGTGAGCGACGTAGTCGATCTTGTGCAGGTCGAGGAAGTCGGGCGTGACGATCCATGGGCAGCTCTCAATGACCTCGTCCACCCACTTGCAATGCCGAACAGTCTCGGCGCGTTCGGCGCCGGAGAGGACCGTCAGGCCCTTGCGCTTGTGCGTCTCGGCGTCACCGGTGACGCCGACGATGAGGTAGGTGTCGGGGAAGGCCTTCTTTGCCTGCTCGAGCTGGCGCATGTGACTGCGAGAGGGGACAAGAGAGTCAGTGGAAAGAAAACCTTGGCCCGCGCGGGAAGGGTATAGAGCACATTGGAGGCGAGCTCCTCCTGTCCTTCAGGGGCAAGGGGGACTGTTCAGACTTACCCGAGATGGAAGAGGTCAAAGACTCCGTCGGCGTATACCCTGACGGGCCGGCCAGCAGGAGGGTCGTTGGTCCTAAAGCCCACAGGGTGCGTGAGCTTGCCAGTGGGCGGAGGCGGCATGGCCTCATCCTTCTCGTCGTCCTTTATCGAGACCTGCTTGCGGTTGTTCTTGCGACCGACCCGCTCGGCAATGTCGACGCTGGCCTCGGTGGTATCGCTGGGTTCGCCCGGGTCGAGGGAGTGGTCCTGCGCTGCGGTGGTGCTCTGCTGATTGTTCGAGCTCGTCTCGTGGGAACGCTCCGAATTGGCACGTTGCCGCTTAGGGGGATGGCCGGCGGAGGTGGAGTCGGACTTGCGGTGACCGGCGATACGGCCTGATTCCGGAGCGGTGCTGTCACCCTCCTCGCCAGAGGCGTCTCGCGACGAGGCCTGGAGGGCAGCGTCGACCGTGTCGGCGACGTCGGGCATGTTGGTGGGGTTCGTGGCGTTGGTGCGTTTCCGCTTGCCTGCTGCTGAGGAGCCCGAGGGGGAAGACATGGTGTCTTTATTTGTGTGTAGAGTATGTGCGAAGGGGGCGGGTTGCGAGGTAGGAAGGTGGTTGTGGTAGAGGTGGTGGTGAGTTTGTAGGTGTCGTCCGGCAGCAAGCGTCTCTGTCGTCTTCCCGCGTAGACTTGCTGGTTGCGACTTAGGTAAGGAAGGGGTATGAGTATGGGTCGAGTGAGGTGTTCCCTGTAGATCGGCGGGCTATGTCGTAGGGTATGGGAAAGTTGGATTTGTAGGTAGGTAGGTACTTCGGGTCGGGAGAAGTTGGAGCTAGGTTCCTGGGTTTCCCAAAGGTGTGGGTGTTGTGCCTTGGTTTAGAATGTTAGGAGGTGTGGGTAAGGCAATGATGATGATGATGATGATGTCGTGGGCAAAAGGTGGAAAGACGAGACAGGACAGAACAGACAGATGTACAGAGACAGGGCAAGGGCGGAAAAAGGCACGGCTCCTGTTTGGTGCAAACTGCCAACGAAGCAGAGCGGCAGGATACCCAATGCTGGACAGGGCAATGGGACACGAAAGAGGACGGAAGGCGTAGGAAGTCGGTGTACCCTTACGCGGTTTCGGGAAGGCCAGTCCAGTCCAGTAGGAAGAGGTGCTCGGGTGATTGAGAGATTGCGAAATCAAGAGGAGGCAGAGGCGCATATGATACGGAACCAGACCTGCAGCTAGTGGGGGGAGGAGCGACTTGTCCGGTCGGCGGGACGCGGACCATGGGATTGAAACTTTTTTTAAGGTTGGCCCTGGCTGGTTATTGATGGATCGCCAGTGTCAACCGGGAAGCTGAGCTGCTGCGGTGTAGCATTTGTAGCATTCGAAGCTTCGTCAAGCGCGGGTAGATGGGAAGGACGCCTGGTGTCAAATGAGAGCAGAGCTTCGGCTTTTCGACTTGTGATTTTGGACTTGGGTCATTGGCTTGTTGGATGGCGCCCTTTCTTCGCACCTACTCGACTTAGAGCACAGTCGCGTGTCACGAGTTGGGAAAATGCCACGATGTGCATCGAGATTCGGTTTTACACAAGGACACGGTTACGATTTCTATGCGAGCATGCCACAGCGCTCCAGTAGCAGAAGGTGAAGGTGAAGAAAAAAAGGAGAAAGGACAAAAAAAAAAAAGGAAACAAAAGACCATAAAATATGGCCTGAGAAGCAGCATGCTTGGTCTATCGTTTCACTCCCCTTCCATTTCCAACGCTCTCGAAGAATTCTGGAGCAACGCGTTGTTCGTTCGAGAAGCATGGGGCATGGTAGCAGGGGGTTGAAGGAGATGGAGAGCATAAACACCCCGATGGGAAATTTGCGGCTTGTGCTAAGGTATGGCTCCAAGCTTGTGCAGCTGTGCTTGTCCTTACTGCCCCCTGCACAGCTGCTCTAGGGGGCGGATTCTGTCGTAATGGCCAGTGTTGTGCAAGGAAGTGGCGTCATCGTGCTGTGTGGCTTGAACCGAGCAATGCACTGCACAATTACGTCGAGGGAGGAGCCAGAGGACGGAAGGTCGTGGCTTGGCTAACGCGGACCAATCGTCCAAGACCAAATGGACCAAAAAAATGCCTTTGCGGGTCAATTATGCCCGGCAGGGATGACGAGATTTCTGTTGGGGAGAATGTGGGTTCTTTTCCTGTGGAGGAAGGGGGGCACGGGGACCACGAGAAGGAGCTCTGAGAAAGGAAGATACGTACCGTTGTAGAAGCCATGAATGACACTGCTGCCAGTTGTCAGTGGCACACGCGTGCGAGGGTGTCAAAATGGAAGACTTGACAAGTCGACACGTTGTGGTTCGGTTGAACCTCCGATGGATCCGAGCTGTTCATCTAGATGGCAGGTGAGGAACCAACCTCTCCGCAGCATCATGTCAGGGCGCGTTAGCTGGTGGATGGAAAGCCATCCAAGATGCGGTCTTTTCCACTCGCAGCAACGATATGGGTAACAATGCCAACGAGGTTCATTCATCAAATTGACAGTTCATGCGTCTTCTTCCTCGACCCACCTGCCTGGGATGCGACGGATGCATGAATCGGCTATTAATTCGAATTTCCGATTCATCGATTTTATGGTATTCTGTGCCAGCATTTTCGTTTGAATCTGGAACCTGGAGTGTAGTACGGAGTCAGAGTCTCGGGAGGCCTGGCTCGGGCGGAGACATCCGGTCGGTCGAGTGACCGGTGTGCGGGATTAGTGGAATCCCGGACGACCGCCGATGTGGGTCACCGCTTCAGGTAAACGCCCGGCAATATGCCGTGCTCTGACCGAACCAGCTACGTTAAAGTATGATTACTCCCCGAGAAGACAAACCACGCTTACCAAGGGGGGTTTCCTTCCCCCGGCAGACTTCGTTGCCATCAGGCTGTATCAAGTCTAATCTTCACGATCGACGCAGCACTGTTGTTAGCTGTCGGGTCACAGGCTCCAGTACGCCCCAGGCTCGTCTTGAGACGCATGTCTAGCGCTCCTCCCCGCATTTTCTGGGACGGACACGATCTTTTGTTTCCTTCTTTCTTGGTTCCATATTCAAGAGCAACACCTCTCATGAATCGTTTCCGCCCGCCTGCTATTGCCTCATTCTGCTCCATTCCGCTGCCCATCAAGGTCCTCAGTACAAGATGGAGCCATCAGAAACACCCCGGACAGGGATCACAGCTACCAGCTGCGTCTTTCATTGGTTTCGCAGTGCTCTATACTATTAGCAGGCCATCAAGGTCGACATAGCTGCTCGTGGAATTTCCTCGTGACTAGGTGGTCCAGGGAGGCAAGCTCGGGTTAAGAGGTGACGCGATGGATAACAAAACCATCAGACTCCCCGGGAAAGCGTCTAGCTACTCTGCTGTCCCCCTCAATATATACACTACCTCATGACCATTTAGATTTAAAGACTGGCCCCCGGTCATATCTCACCATGACAGAAGCCTTCATCCACGACGTCCTCATCATCGGCGCCGGCCCCTGTGGCCTGGCCGTGGCCTCCCGTCTATGTGAGCACTCTCCCTCGGCTCTCTTCACAGACGAGGAGCATCAGCGGTACCACTGGATCCGCAAGTACGGACGCCGTATGCCCCTGAAGAACAGGCGCAACGGCAACATCATTGAGAAGAGAACACCGGTGCGGAGCCAGCGGTACTCGACGTTAGTTCTGGACGCCACCGGTGACGAGTGGATGAACCGCTGGAACCGTCTCTTCAAGACGTTTGACATCACGCACCTCCGGAGCCCCATGTTCTTTCACGTTGACCCGAGCGATCGTGACGCCTTGCTCGCTAGGGCTCACGAGCGGAACCAGGAGAACGAGCTCCAAGAGCTCAGGGCTTGTGTTGGCAAAGAGATTAGCAAGCACCTGCGCAAGGCGAGGCTCAAGTCAAGGAACCCAAAGTAAGCAGTAGCACCTCGTCCTCGTCCTCGTCCTCATTCTCTCGCTTACGATTTTTCGATATTGACTTGACGATCGCATAGACAACACGCCGTCGTCGAAGTAGACGAACGAGACCGTAAAGATTACTTCACGCCCCCTACGAACCTATTCGCCAACCACTGCGAATGCATCGTTGACCGCTACGGACTCCGCGAAGGGCTCATCCAGAACGAAAAGGTCGAAGACATCCAATACCGCACCATCAAGCAAGTCTCCCCCGACGCAAACCTCTTTGCAGTCCACACGAATAAGGGAACCCACTACGCAAGAACAGTCGTCCTGGCCGTCGGCCCAGCCAACGCACCCACGATCCCTCCCGTCCTGGGCCTCAACAGCAGCGAATCCAACTGCGCGGCGGCGCCACCTCAGGTCTGCCACAGCATGCAGATCCAAAAGTTTCCCGACCCCATCGTGCAAGCCAAGATGGCCGCAAAGAAGACGACAAACGTCCTCGTCGTGGGCGGCGGCCTCACGTCCGCGCAGCTCTCCGACCTGGCCATCCGGCGCGGCGTGACAAAAGTCTGGCACCTCATGCGCGGCCCTTGCAAAGTGAAGCCGTTCGACATCGACCTCGCATGGATGGGCAAGTTCCGCAACGTGGAGCAGGCGTACTTCTGGTCTGCCGACTCGGACGAGGAACGGCTGCAGCAGATCCAGAGCGCCAGGGGCGGGGGCAGCATCACGCCGCCGTACCAGAAGCGCCTGAAGCAGCACATTGCCCGGGGCAGCCTGCGTCTCTTGACCAACACCAGGCTTTCCGAGGCGCGCTTCGACGAGGATAAAAAGGTGTGGAACGTCAAGACGGAGCCGCCGGCTGCGGAAGAAGGTGGCTTGCCGGGGATGGACTTCATCTATTTCGCTACAGGCGTGCAGACGGACTACTCGAGCCTGCCGTATTTGCAGACGATGCTGAGGGAGCATCCCATTCACGGCCATGGGGGTATCCCATGCATCGATGACGATCTGAAGTGGTCAAAGGACGTTCCGCTCTTCGTGACAGGTCGGATGGCTGCGCTCAGATTAGGTCCCGGCTCAGCTAATCTTGCGGGCGCGCGGGCGGGCGCTGAGAGGATCGCGTGGGCTATTGAGGACTTGCTTCCTGATCGGACTGGTGACGGTCCCGGAGAGTCTGATATGAGTGATGAGAAGATGAGGTTTGTGACTGGGAGGGGGAATAGGTTTGATAGCTTAGTGACGGCAGGAGATGGTGATTGGTAATGGCCTTGATGAACTTGAAGACGACAGAAATGGATACAGCCTGATGGGAGCACTCATGGAATGTGAGCATTCCTTTTATGTCCCTTTTGCTCACGATGTCAGGCTCAGAGTTGAAAGAACTGCCGAGGTTGAATAACTCCCGCGTTAAATTCCCTCGTTCATCAACAATAGACTAGACGAGCATCAATACCGTGCCTAAGTCGGCTAAAAGTTGTGGAATCGATCTATGGCTTTACATCAATCCACGGGCGAACTTGATCGATGTTCGGGTAACATGTAACTCAGATTCAGCCCTTTCAACCATGGAAAGTCATGACCGAACCCAAGGGAACTGAAATCCGAGTTACGAACATACCACATCGCCCTCAGTCTACCTGGCACTCCATCGGCGTTTGCGAGTGCATGTCAGGTAGGCATCCGCAGGATCTCACGACGCTACCTCGTCCAAGGAGAAAAGAGCTTGCGAGGTTGCCCAGAGACGCTTTTCTCGCTCGGGGTGAGCATCTAGACTGGGCAAACTCTCACGCGCTTCATCCTCCTTTCGCTTTTCTCGATGCTTGGCTTCGGTCGGGTAGGAACAGTTTGAGATATCGCGTAGAAAATGTTGATAAATTGGCCCGTTCTCACTGGAGATGCTTTCCCCAGCGAATTTCACCCATTCCATCTTGCCTCTTGCGACCAGAATACCCGTTGCTCATCTTTTTGGTCTCAAGAAACGTCGAGATGAAGACTTTGATATTTCTCTACCTTTCGGCGCTGAACGCGTTGGGGTCCTATGATGTGTCTTGAATGACCAAGATATATTGATCCTAGGTCCATAGTTACGGTGTGAGGTATACCTTCAATGGACAGCAAGACAAGGAAATAATGGAAATATTCGATGTGCACATATTTCAACACGTATTCTTTTCTTCCAAGTCATTTCACTATGCCGCAAGAACATAAATCCTTACTTTCTATGAGACTCGACCGGGGTTTCCAACGCTCGACGGATCACCGTTGTGGTAGACATACTAAAAAGCTTCAAGCACTCTCCAGACTTCTCGCCGTAAAGAAGGAACCCGTTTCAGACTACCCGGTCCTGACATCAAGTAGCATTGTCACCGAATCTGTTGGACGGGCAGAAATAGCGTGGAGTTAAAGACTCGTGTCTGATTTGTCGCTTTAGAGTGGTGAAGTTGACAAAAGGTCTGCTTGAGCTATCTGTCGGCACAATCGCCGGCCCGAACAGTGGTGCGGTGTCCCGGGCATATACGATACCGCCTCATTGCTCGCCATCTACCAAGACAGGGAAGTAGAGATCTTTGTCTTTGGCGGTGTGTCCAAAACCAGATAACCTCAACATCTCCTGGCACCGGTCTTCGTAATCATGCTCTGCCAAGCTACCATCCCGCCGATTCTGCCCTGTCTATCTCTGCATCACTTTTAGGGCTTCAATAGTGTTCACGTCAACTTTCTCCACTTGTATTCCATGTGACCCGGGGTGGGTGCTGATTAAGATCTAGACTTTCTACCTTTATCTACGCTAGCCATCTTCCGAGGGCCCAAGATACACGTGTACTGATACCATAAAAGGTACCCGCGTGGCTGTGATTTAGCCCAGAACTCAATCCCATTACGTTTGCCGTGTTCCTGACTTTGCAAATCAACCATGTACTACCGTCGACTACTTTAATGACAAGAAAACAGAAAGTGCGGAATTAGGATCGCACTAGGTTTGGACGAAATAAGGAATTCATTTAGTGTATCACACATTTCCTCAGCCAGCACACGAGAATCCGAAGATCTTGGTAGCATTAGGTACAGGCACCGGATAGACAGCGATTGCCCCCTGTTTCCACATCGTGTTTACAGTTACACGTATATTACATTGTCATCACCATACTCCGTATAGTACCAGGAAACAAAACTGCGCCAGCCGCGGGTTTCTTCGCACTTCATCTCTCTGGAACACGACAGAGAGGAGGGGGTTTCGCCAAAACAAGGAAAACGATCCCGTGCTTTGCTTACCTCATCCCGAAACCGAGAAAAACACGAAGACGGTCGGTTCATCCGGAGATACCGACCTTCGTTTCCCCAGTATCATCCAAGCGGAGGAGGAGGAGGTTGGAGGGTGGCCGCGTCTTCCATACTATAACCCGAGTCGACGCGGACTCCTCGCTGACCCATCGGTCCGGTATGTGGCAGGGAAGTGCCGACTGCAAAGGTACCCAGGAAAACCCTGTCACAACTGACTTTCTTCCCTCTGCCGCTTGTTCTGAGTCGAGTTCCTGGTTCTCTCCTGGCCCAGCCCCGCGTGCGCGGCCGCTGGCCTCCAACTTAATAACAAAGGTGCTCCCACTGGCGGAAAGGTTGGACATATGCCTTGTAATACCAGTGATACGGGACCACCGAGGCTCGCTCTCCGTATTTCGGGGAGTTTCTTTGAACAGAGCGGCAACTATTTGCCGGGCTCTCTTGTGGGTAACTCCCTGTCCTGCCATGTGAAAGAGGAGGCCTCGCCAGGGTCGGCCCTACCTCATGGCGGAGGTGGAGTCTAGAACCTGGAGAGAGGCCGGCAGACGAGGAGGGGAACGAGGAGCGAGGGAGGAGGAAGCGGAGAAGATGGGGGGGCGAGAGAGTCATGACAGATGCACAGTGAATCTGGGGGCAAACTCGGGTCCTTTCCTCTGCTTTCAGGGTGAGGCTCGCGACCCTGACACATTGTCGTATCCCGCCTTTGCGACGAACGCCTTGTCAACTGATCGGTCATCTTCCATTGCGAAGGCTTGAAAAATTTCATGCTGCAGATCTCGTGTTGATCGGATCTACCCTTTCCAGTCTCATTTGTCCGTCACCAGATGCAGCTAAAATCACATGAGGTAGTTCTTGAAATTTAATGAAAATGAATCATCTTTTTTTGCCACTCAGTCTCTGACTGACCTATCGCTAACTCCTCGTCCAACATCAAAACCTAAAATCTTTGGCCCCAGTCGCAGCCAATTTGCCCCAAACGCCGTCGCGATACTTTGCCATCCTTGACTTGAGTATGTGAATATGTCAGTCTCTGTTGAAACATTGCTATGAATGTTCAGAGAAGAAAGAGCGATGGTTTTGCGCTCTATGTACAGAAAATGTTTCGTTCCACGCTTCGTCCACGAAACTGCCAGCGCTCTCTTGCGTAGTGTGTTTTCCACGGAATAAATCATACTGTTTCTTCTCTCGCAAGAAGGAAAGGAAGATGCCTCGTGGGGTTGAGTCGTAAATCCCTGGCTGGAATAACGTCCCAATCCATACTGTGTCGTCGTGGTCTCGATATGTACACTCTATGTAGCCAGGTTTTGTAAATGCAAGCAGGAAAGAGGTCGGCGTAACATAAAAGCAAACTTTCCAGGCCAAGTAAACCTTAGAAACGCAAAACGCTTTGTGTTCGTCACCTCGATGAAATAGACTTTCGTCGATAGCTCAGTGTCTGATAGGAAAAAAAAAAAAAAAAACGCGCTTTAGCATCTCTCAATTTCTCTCAATCGGGTTCTCCCACTTAATCGGGTGAAGGAGCATGCTGCGCATACACAATCGTCCAGAGCTGTCCTTGCTGGCCTCCTCATCTTTGCCTCCGCGTGATGTGCCCTCGCCTGCTCGACCACCATTGCCGCCGCGGCCGTCCATTTGGGCGTAGCCGAGCCATCGACGCCAGAGTAGACCAGCAAACTCAGAATTGTAGTACCAGCTGGTACCCTTGTGATTATGCTCGTTCCTGATGTCAAAGGGGCTGCCGTGACCTCCCGTTGTGCCATCGCGGCCGCCGTTGAAGGCCTTTTCGATGGTATTGAAGGGATACCATGCTCTGTCCAGGAATACCGGGTGAGGTGCATATGCCGCCTTAAAGCCATGGTGGAGAGCCATGCTGGCGGGAAACATCTCCGAGAACATGCTGTGATGCAGGCGCCACATCTCTTCGTGCATAGCGGCCAGGAGCCGGCGAGATAGTCGCGAGGCCGTGACAATGGAGCATCGGCGTGGTGGCGGAGCAAAGACCATTTCGTAGCCGGTTACGTCCTTGGCGAAAACCCAGCCTGACTCGTCGGCGTCGAAGAGGGGATTCAGGGTGATGAGGTCGGCTTCCTCGCCGACACCGCACTCGTTAGGGTCGCCACCACGGGCACATGAAGCAGGAAGAATGGAGGCGCCAGCCTCTTCGCTCTTCAGCGACATACGGCCCGGGAAGATTTGGGGGCCCAAAATGGCGCGGCGACCTGATGCGTTGAGTTCTCTTTCAACGACGCTGGCGAATTCATCCCAAGAGCCGTGCTCGGCGGGGATGTAATACTTAGAGGACCGCTCCCAGAGAAGGGTCCGAGTCTGTTGCTTGGCCCAAGATCCGAGGCGATCAAGAAGTTCATAGTAAGAGCCAATGTAGCGCATGTCCATCTCCCAGTTCCAGAAATGGGCGTATTCGGGGTGCTGGAGGGCAAATACCTGTAGGGGCATCTGTGCGCTGCGGTAGACTCCGTGAATGTCTCCGTTCGAAGGGTTTTCGATGGCGTCAGCGAAATGGCCCGGATAATAGAGTTTCATCTCGGCTTCTGACCATAGAGTGCAGAGCGAGTGAAATTCGGTGGGAACATTAGCATCGAGAATGCTCTGTACCACTGACGGATCCGACCAGATGGGAGCCTCGTTATCCTTCACGTGGAGAAGGAAGTGAACGCTATACTCGCCGCCAGACTTGAGAGAAAGCTCGGAGATCATGGCACGGAAGTTGATGATGGCGTGCTGTGTCCATTCAAACCCGACGTAGGTACGGACGACGACAGCAATACGGCCAATCTGCCTCAACCCAGTCTCCTTGGTCTCGGGCTCGCCATAGATCGGGTCCATTTTGCTTTGATTGGTGCCATTGCTGAAGCGGGCGCTGTTGCGTTCGACACAGCGATCTTGTGCGACGCCCCAATCAACCCGGCTGTAATCAATCTTGCCGGTTTTGTTCCAAACGATTTCGGCTCCCTCCTGCTCCGTATCCTGACCCTGAGAGGTGCCTCCCTCGCGCATGTCGTAGCCGAGTCCGTAAGGCCCGTAGCGGCCGAATCGATCGAAGCAAACATCGTTACGGAGGCCCAGTACGGTGTGGGAGCCAATGGCCGGGTCAGGCTGATGTTGGGGAACACCTTCAAAGGCGAAAATGTCGGGTACGGCAATCTTGTCTTCCTCGTCGATGAAGCATTCTGTGACGGGGTGAAAGTCTCTTTGGTAATCGGTAGATGTGTAATCTGGATGAGCCACGTAAGGGGTGGGTGTAGGAGGGGTATCATGGTAAATAGGCACGGTCGTAACCGGTGCCGGGAATGAATTGTTGGGATATTCAGGTGTGTGGTTGGCGATAGCTACGATCGACTTCAGACCGTTGAAGTAGCCATTGAGGCTTTGTGGCGTCAGTGGACTGGTCAGAAACCTATGATAGCGAGATCGCACTCACTGCTTGAATTTGAGCCATGACGGCATGTCACTGTCGAGAACGAGGTCTTCCTCAGGCGGTACCGGCCTTCCCTGCTTCTGGGAGTCACCGCCCACCCCGCCTATTCTGTAATCATCTCCTAGAATCTTTCCATCTCGGGTGTATAGCGGCGTATTCAGATACGCGAGCGCGATCAGCATGGAAATTGTCACCGTCCATATCACAACCCTGCGATACAGGCAATGGCCTAGTATCGCGCGCACCCGGAGTTTCGGTTGTGGGATCGTAGTGACTGGTGCGGGGAGAAAGAACTCCCCCTTCTCCTGTCCTGGGGTTGACTGAAATAATGAATTTGAGCGGGATGAACGGGTGCTGGACCGGCTGCTGCTGATGGATCGTGTCGTGCTGGTAAGTAGAGAGTGTGCTCGCTCCATGGTTGCCGGAGTGAGAAATTGGGTATCTGGGTATCACAAAAACATCTGGTGATGAAAACTTGGCCTGGCAAAGAGTTCGAGCGTAGCTAAGGGTGAGGTAGTGGGGGGGACGGCGAAGGGTAATACTATAACGAAGGGAATACTTTGTGCAAGTGACGTTTTTGCGTCCATTTCCAGACACCGGCTCAGGCCTTACTTTTCAAACAAGCGAGCTCCCTGCACAGTGTGTTGGACGTATAGAAGACACACAAGTACTCACATATCATGCAACAGAGCGAGCAGATGGGACCGACCAGTCGGCAGCCGGTGGAGGGGGGGGTAGGGGGTAAGGTGACCGGCTGATATGCGGAGAGAGGCAAGCAGTCGGTCTTAGTTGGGATGTCCAGGGTTCGGGCACTGCCGAGCCTCATTGCCTCTATGGCTCTGACTTGACTGTCCACCATTCTCACGCCCGACTGTCTCAGTTCCCAACGTCGCGCGGAGCGAGCAAGGATTAGCCTTGAGCCGCCAAGCCGGGGACAGGGGAATAATGAGCCTCAAGTCGTTGCGGACGAAGTGCTTCTTCCATCCCTTCCCCAAGTTCCAAGCCTATCATCGTATCGTTTGGATTGAACGAGCTTGGCAGGTCCCGTATTCACGAGTTGGACCTAACCTCATCCCCGATCTCCGTCTAGTGAGACTACAATGTATACGAGGCGGCGGGGGCTTCGTGGTATTCCATTCCAGACCGTCGCATTCCGATATCCGAAAAAGAAGGACTTTGGTGATGATCCTTCGGAACCCCGCCACTGCCGGGACGCCAGCTGGACGGACGATTCTGCAGCATGGGCAAGACAGCCTTCACGGAGCTGTATCAGAGCGTATGGGATCAGCGCCTCGTTGGTAGGGGAAAGAGGAAGAGAGACTCGAGAACGAGAGAAGGGGTTGCGCGTCCCCTGTGGGGCCCTGGCTTATGCGTAGATCCGTCTGGTATAGAACCAAGAACTACAGTTGGTTCCTCTCCCACACTGCTCGCGACACGGCACCCAGGAACAGGGAGGGTGGCTGTAGCTTGTTGCTAAAGAAAGCAACCGGGACGTGAATCGGGGCGTTGATTAAGGTGTGGACATGCAAGGAACGTGGTTTAAGCGCACGGGAGCTGGTGCATCTGAAACTGTCGACGTTGCGGCGTTGGGCGACGTTTCATGCCAAGCTCAACCCACGTTGCGAGTCTAGTGGTACAATTTGTCAAAGTCAAGTCAAAGGGAAGGCGATTTTGGGGGGAAAAGGGCCGTCCTGGGCTCTCCTGGGGACGTGGAAAACCACCGGCGCTGGGACGGCGTGGTTCGTCGCTCCAGCCCTGTTCGTTCCATTGCGTCTGCTCTGCAGCTCTTCAGCTCTGCAGTCCGCGGAGTGAGTGGGCTGTTTCTGGGCGCCACAAACCATCAAACCGTCCAGTTCCTGATGCGGCTCTTGTTTTGTTGGTGTTATATTTCTAGCTGACCAAATCAGGAAGGCCATGGTCCGCAATTGTATCGGTGTGGTCTCGTATGGTCCAAATCCTAAGAATCCCATCTTCGTTCTCTGAGTACGTCGTCGTCGTCGTAATGGACGCCACCGGAAGGCCATCTGACGGTGAGCCGAATGTAGTCTCGCCCACTCAAAGTCTTTGCTCCGGCACAATTAGCTTCGGGCTTAAGCAGTGCGGATGCCCTTCCAGTCGGGTCTCGCTTCAATTCGATCTTATTTCGTCCGGTCATTGTCGTAGTAGTTGAAATGCGTGACCTGTTGGAATGCAATCTAATCCTGAACTGTACGGGGAGAACAACAAAGGCCCTCACCCTCATTGCCGTTGAAGTTTCATCCGTTTGCACTCTGGCTATTCAGCTGTCTTGGCTCCCACTGGACCCTGTGCTTCTATTTGCAAAAGTACGTAGAATTGCCAGCTCGAGGTCTATGCGTTCTTTGCCAGAGGATTGAAAGCACTGACAAAGAAACGCCCTGCAGGAGCTGATGATCAAAAACAATATGAGCAACAACATTTGCCCCAAGTAATGGCATAAGGGCCACGGCTTGAAAAATTGACGCAGATTTAGAAATGCTCGAGGGTAGCAGACTGGTCAGAGTGTGCCGAAGCCGTTACTTTGCCGCCTTGCCGCCCGTCAAATTGATTGATGTTTTTTTCAGCTTGCAAGCCATGAAAGTTGATGAACGGGCTCCCGACATCCTATTCGGGCTAGTCTTCGAGACTAGGACTGCGCCGTCATCGACGGGATGCCACCATAGAATTCGACCGAGCTCTTCTTGGGCGAAGTGTTCGTCGTGAAGCATTTAAACTAACCTTTTGGCGTGCACCAGAAAGCCTGAAATGTTTTGCCAGTTTGGGTTGGATTAAACCGTGAGGATAAATCCCGAGCCTTATGGATAGTGGTCAGTATGCGTCATGCTGAGCGAGTGACCACCTGGGCCCGCGTGAGCTAAAAAAGAGGCATCGCGTTACTAATTAATGGTAGAGTTTTTCCGAAACTGGCTCCCCTTGAGCTTCGAATAGAACGCCTTTCAAGGTCCAAGCTGGGATCAATGGAAAATAAAGGCTGTGCAGCTTCTGACGTCAGTTGTGGCCGCGGGTGCCAGTGACAGCGGGGGTATATTTGCGATGGTGCGATGACATCGTCTGTCAGCTGAAATTGTTAGAAAGCCTCGGGAGGGCGGACGGCGAGAGTTGTGAGGAAGTTCAGGTTGGAGGGGAAGAAAGCGTGAGGGTGGTCGAGTCGAAGGGAGCGGGGGGGGGGGGGGGGGGGGGGGGGGGGGGTGGGGGGGGGGGGGGGGGGGGGGGGGGGGGGTGGGGGGGGGGGGGGGGGGGGGCGGGGGGGGGGGGGGGGGGGGGGGGGGGGGGGGGAGGCCAGGTCCCGGCGTCCCTCGTCGAGAGTCTGATTGTACGTGTCGTCGCTGGCCATGACTCGTCCGAGTCGCAAAGTGAGTTGGGACTTTCCAGATAGGGCGAGATCGAAACAGAGGATTGCGCGTCTACCATGGAAACACTATTCTGACGCGCGATGTGTTAACCAAGATCACAACGCTCGCCCTAGATCTGAACAGCGTGCGTTTCGATGTTTGGACGGTTCGTCGACTTTCCACCACAAGGTTATGGGGGAAACGCGAGAAGCGGCGAGTTGCCAAGACGGAAATGTCAAGCGCCAATGCCCAGCCGATCCAGACGGCAGACAGAGAAAGCGTAAAAGCCTCCTACTCATCGGCCAGGCGTGTCCTCGTAAAAATAGACAAGCATCGTATTGGCCAGTGAAGAAAGATTGCAGCTGCAGAACTTCTTTCCGTCAGACAATGGACGGGGCGTGGTCAGTGGAAAGCAGAATGCACCAGCTGGAGCCAGCCGGCACCAGCTCCAGCCTCAGGACCCGACCTAAGTCACGTGCGGCAGCTCGAGAAGATGGAATTGAGGCTGAACTTCGTCTCAGCCACACCTGTCTTCCAAGCGGATTTTGCCTAGCGTGCACCTGCCCTACCCGCACACAAGCGACATTTTCAGCAAAACGACTGAATTTCACTTTCCCCCGCCGGCCCCGACAAATTCATCGTCACGACACTCCGGCAAGCGACATCGACAAACAGCCGCCAAGATGGGTAAGTCCTTTTTGGAATATTGGAATGCATTTCTCTTCTATGGGGACGTGGTCGTCAGCAGCCGGATTCGATTTGAGAAATAGGAGGATTGCTTCCCTCGCCGACCGTTGCGTTGCCGCCGATTCGCGAACGACAAAAAGCTTTGGGAACGGGGGAATGATGCACGAATATCGACACGGGGATACACCACGACACGCGGCACTACGGCAGCGGTCGGTGACGAGAACTCGGGCTTGACGGGGACGATCCGGCTGCGATAATGGCACATTATTCTGCCAGATGGAATCAGTCTTGATGATGGACATTGGAGGCTGACTTTGAATGCAGTGAACATTCCCAAGACGCGTATGACCTACTGCAAGGGCAAGGAGTGCCGCAAGCACACCCAGCACAAGGTCACCCAGTACAAGGCCGGCAAGGTATGTCCAACGACGCCCGCGCGCGACGACCGATTCCTGGCGACATACACCCGACACACGATCCGGACGGTTCACTAAATGGTTGTTTGATGTAGGCCTCGCTGTTCGCGCAGGGAAAGAGACGTTACGACCGAAAGCAGTCCGGTTATGGTGGTCAGACCAAGCCTGTCTTCCACAAGAAGGCCAAGACCACCAAGAAGGTTGTCCTGCGGTTGGAGTGCATCAAGTGCAAGACCAAGCTCCAGCTCGCCCTGAAGCGCTGCAAGCACTTCGAGTTGGGGTATGATATCATCCCTCATAAATCTAGGCCTACCAGGAAATGAATACTGACAATCTTTATAGTGGTGACAAGAAGACCAAGGGTGCTGCCCTCGTTTTCTAAACGCATTGTGTTTTCGGTCGACCGACTTTTATGGCTCCTTTCACGGCACACGGATCATCATCAGGCTGGAACAATGGCGGCGAAGAGGGTTACCAGTTCTCATTTGAGGAACTCTACATAGGGAACAAATAAAAGCCCTTGCTTGCGAACGGATACCAAAAGCAATTCATCAAGCATCCCTCCCCTCCTCACCCCTCACCTGCTGTCGCGCGCTCAGAGAGACCGCAACCGAAGAAGAGAAAAAGTGACAGAGAAATGACGGGGTGCGTGGGAACTCGACACACGGTTTGTCCTGAGGGTGGTGATCCCATTCGATGTGGGATGAACTTGTCCCTGTTGAGGCATACCCAGGCTCTCGAATCTGTGGTCGCTAGAAGATAGACGCCTTCCAGGAGGCTCAACCGGTCAATCACATCACTGAGTCACGAATAACGTAATCATGTTTACTTCCCATCCCATCTATATATTCATGTGTATCAAGTTTCCTGATCGCGTCTTATTCTTTACTGCCCTCTGTTCTATATCTAGTCCTTGAATTCGTCTCTGCGCCGCGCCGAGGCGCCGAGGCGCCCAGCCAGGTATCTGTCTCAAAAGCCCTCCCCCAGCTTGATCGTCCTCCCTCCTCCGTACCACAATTGCCCATTCCGAGCATCCAAGCCCCTCTCCTGCCCAACAAGCCACTCCCCAATCCAGTCGGCATCCCGCCGATCCCAGACCTCCTTTTCGAGCCACGCGTTGATCTCATCAATGGCCTCAACCCACCTCTTCCTCGCCTCGGGCGTATCGTGGTCCTTCTCCGTAAGGTACCGCCCTAGCGTGATGTGCGCGCTTGGCACCTGGTACCTCGACTCGATCTGCACGCCCGTCGACTGCGCCAGAGTAAAAATGTCGCGGCGGAGATGGTGGTACGTGTAGCCGTCCCCCTGCACGATAGGCTGCTGCTGAGCGGTCGGCGCCGGGGGCGGGCTCAGGGGCGGCTCGCCAGAGGCCGGGAGGAAGGAGACGGCGAAGGCGGAGAGGTCATAGGAGATCATTGGCCTTACGAGACGGGACCTGTGGGAATAGGTGTAGTCCGTGATGTAAGGGATTGCGGAGCGCATGTTATCCGTGAGAGCGATGATCTCCTCTGGCGTTTTGGAATGAGTCACCTCCAGAGTTGTGAGATGCATCCGGTGCTGGGGCATGAGCCAGATACCTTTGAAGATTTCGTGTTAGCCACGTCACTCTCTTATCACTCTCATCATTGCACTTTTCAGGGGTCTCACTCGGTGCGGCCTTCTTGAGCAAAGACTGCAAATGAGCCGAAAGTCTCACAATGTGATCCGGCGGCCGCGCCCAGAAAACCAAGCAATTGCGAGGGTCTTGGAAGCCGGGCTCCATCTCCGGGTTCTCCAGCCTCAGGAGGAAAGGGTCAATGATGAGCTCCTTGAAGTCAGGAGCTATGAACTTTTGCTTCTGCTGCTCATTCCTCTTTGTTCTATGACCCTGATAAAGAGCTTGAATCTCTGCCTACGCGTTTACCACTCATCAGATTTGAAAACTCTCTTGAAGGCTTGGGTCGGAGTTTGGACTTTACTGGGTTGTCATTGCAAGCTTTGATGAAGGCTTCATATGGATTTTGGCCTGGGAGGATTTGGATGCCAGACAAGTCTTCCAACTTGTTCTTGACATCGGTCGAGATGAGTTGAGAGCCCATGATGAAGTTATTTGGAGTAGCCGTGGGAGCGTGGTGTCACTTGGATACTGGAGTAAATAGACAACGACACGAAATGATACAGCAGCCTTTTGGACTCCTCAAAAGAATCGAGGCTTAGATGAGAGCGGAATGGGGACGGAAATCGACGCGGGCGAAATGGGGCAGGTGCCAAGCTTTTCTCTTCGTATTGAGCCCGCGATGAATCGAACATGGACTAAAGCAGTCGACGAACCTGGGTGAGTACCTGAAGATTTGAGGTCGTCGTCACCGCCAATCAATACGCCCTTCAGCTGCACCTGCGTCGCGAACCAATTACGGAAGGTGAGTGGATGCCGTCGGTCACTGGCGGTGGATGCTGGCCGGAGAAGACGTGAATGACTAATCCAGGCACCCTTTGGGGTGTGGGGTCACATGATACGCAATCGTCTCGAGAGGTCAGGGCCAATCGGGTCTCTCGTCACCACAGGGGCTCAGCTTGTTTTGACTTCGAGCCTCTGAATTGCAGGGGCGTTTATTGAGAGGCAACTCATTACGTTGACACGACTGCGCCTATTGTGAACAGCATAGGTTGCATTCACAAGCCAACGGTGATTCCAACGATCTAGGCTGAAGCAAGTGCTCGATTTTTGCTGCAGAACATTGCAAGTCGCAGCCCTAGTTGCGTTGGGGACGCTTTCCTACAACCCAGTCCGGGAGGATAACGCTAGACCTTCTGTATGTAGGTAGGCACGCAGGCTAGGTCGATGGCCGGACTTCAGGTGCGTGTGCATAAGCCTTCTTGCGGTCAACATCCCCCCGTCCTAACCCAAACTTAAGAGGGCTCGAGGAACTCGGAGTTCCCTAGGTTTGCAGTTCTTTGCCTGGACTTTCGGCCAGTTTTTACCTACGTCCGGGTTACGACAAAGGAGTTCGGACGTGCGAGCCGACTCCTGCGTACTGCATGCACACTGCCATCTGACGACATCATCACTACCAGGTGGCGATCTCTGCTCTTTTCATCTTGTTCCTAATTTTTTCATGCGTTATTTTCATCTTTTTCTGAATGACCATACCCCCGATACACCGCTCCCTACATATCGAACTTGAGGTACTCCTATTTGTTGCCGGACAAGTCTACAAAAGGCAACGATGCTTGAAGCTGCCTATTGCCGCTTGCTATCAGATCTTGTCATGATTTCTAGACCATGGTCATAAGTATGTCTATGCTGGTACGCTCTGCGTAAATCGACCAAGTGGCAAGTGCTTCTCAATTCTAGGTGAGTCTGGGTCAGTTCTCTTCGGCTCGCACTTCGCATAGATTGTCACCACGTGTCTCAAGGTTTGGGATGACTTGCTTGCGCAACGCAAACTGGTCGCCGTCGTGACTCACGTAAAACTGGCAACACTTGGTGGAATGGGGAGGTCAGAGACAATAACCACATAGCCCCCCTCGCTAATGTGTTATCTCATGGTATACTTGAAAGTTTGGCCGGTTTAGCTACTTGTCCCATGTCGAAATGTCGAGAAAACCATTGGAAACACTTTTCAAAGCAGCCCCCGCCATTTCTGAAGGAGTATTTTCCAAGCTCCAACCTCTTTACATGTAGTTACACCCAAACACTCGAGTGAGTGCCCGAGTTCTAAACTCCACAACATCAGCGCATTCAGAAAGGGTTGGTCCTCAACAGTTACAGCCTTGGATGGCAGGAATACTCAAATGACAGCCAACCATTTGCGCTAAAGATATTGATGATTCCCATCCTTGGGTGAGCTCGCTGCCTACAAGAACACGTCCTAAATGGTATCTCTCCATCATGAAAGATCATGAGGCCATTTTTGGGCGGAAGAAATGCCATTGTGACCATTCACACCTCCGGCAACGAGAGGACCCATTCAAAGTAGAGAGTGCTGTGCTAAAATCATTTCCTCTTCTGCTATAGAAGGCTCTCATAAAGTCAACCAAAATGCTTTGAGATTAGCTCTCGCCTTGGTGTTTCATGACAAACTTGTGACAGAATTCAGGATGGCCGATGAGGTTTTTTGCTGAAAGGGCCCAGCTGATTAGATTTCCTTCAGGGCCATTCGCCCAAGTTACAAGGACATAAAGGGTGGTCATTTCTAAGCATAGATATCATGCCAAAGTCACTAAGTGCTGACCTATAATTGATATCCTATCCAAGGGCAGTATTTCCTCCCTCTCGAGGCCTTCTCTGTCATCCACATTCTTTCCAAGGATGTGAGTTCTCTCCATGAGTGATCTACACAGATTATGTACTGACCATCCCCTTGAGTACGTTATGAGGGCTTGACTCCTTTGAGACGGAGCTGATTCTCTGTCACTCAAAGATACATCATGTCGTCAGGATACGTTCGAAAGGTGACAAGGAGCTCTCTGTGAAAGGCTAGCAGGATTAGAATCATGGCCTTGTCAAAACACTCTCGAGGGGTAGCTCTCGCCACGAATGACCACAGACAGAGCACATATCCTGTCAAACAAGCCCTTCCCGTCACAAAAAGAATCCAGCTCTCATCAGCCTTTTGCCGGGCCTCTCACAAGATGGCCCGTCTTCCTCCTCAGGTGTACTCCCCTTGTCAAGGCAGCCCTCGAGGGATAGCACCCGCCCTGAATAGCCTCCAAGATCGAGGGCACCCGCCTACTTGAGTCTTGCCCTCTTCTCCGCTCTGAAAGCGAGAGCACATGACCTCACACAAAGATTCTCTCACCCTCCTTGAGCCTGGAAAATCCCCCAAAATATTTCCTCTTTCCTCTTTCTTCACCACTTTCAGCACTCTCACTGAGCTTCTCCCCTCCCACAGCTTCTTTCACACATCAAGGCAAATCAAGTTTCCTTACCTTTGCTCATCACCAGCATCATCAGAAGTCCTCGAAAATCATCAGGCCTTGTTGATTTTGGGGGCGTTCTAGCTTTGTCTCGTCATTGGCACACTACTCACTTGATCAATTTGCTCTCCCTATCACTACCTCACCTCCCCTCCTCGAAAAATTCATCTTCTATCCTGAATACCTCTGCCCACATCCTCCTTTCCTCTCGCGATCATGGATCTGTCCGATGGCGAGGGTAACCAGGAAGACGAGAATTTCGAGCTGCATTTCGTTGACCAGTTTGGCTTTGACGACGGGCAGCTGTACGGGGATGAACAACCGTACGGCGACGAACAACAGTACGGCGACGAACAACAGTACGGCGACGAACAACAACAGTATGGCGACGGACAGTTTGGCGAAGGACAGGGCATGGATCTCCTTGCTCAGAACAACTTTCCTGGGCAGATTGTTCTCCCAGACTACGGACAGAACAATAACCTCGGCAACGTTTCTGGTTTTGGAAGCATGAATCCCAACCCCTTCCCTCCTCACACTCATGGACACGCTACTGGTCATGATAATACACAGAATAATCTCACTTCTGAGAGCAATCAGCGGCAAATCATCGGCCATTACTATGACAGCGACACTGGCAACCTCATCACGGAATACGCCGACCCCCCCGACGAAGATGGGTTTAACGTTATGCAGTCGTTGACGAACCAGAACGTATCTCAGCAACCTCTTGGTCACAACGGCGGACATCATGACCCTATGGCTCAGCAAAATCAAGCCTTGATACACGGCCACGGCTATATCCAGAGCTTTCCGCCCCGTCCCCCAGCCGAAGCCACCGACGAAGATTACCAAGGCGGTCAGCCTCGTCGCTCTTACACACAACAAATGCAAGATGACATTACCTACCTGGATTCTCAGTTGGCTTCTGGATCTGACTTGGCTTCTGCACCTCAGCTGGCCCTTGGAATTCCAGGACAGGCAACACAGCCAATCTCTTGGTCTGTCATGGGTAACGTGTCGCCTGCTCAGGTCTGGGATGAGCGGTCTGTCAACCGCCCCCGCGATGCCTTCTCAATCATCTTCGACAAGGCATTGAAGCTTGGCCTAGAAGAGGTCCTCAAGGAGGGCGGCGTGTCGTTCAGGATTGCAACCATGTGCTCCGGCACCGACGGTCCCATCTTGGCTCTGCGTGAGTTCGTTGAAGCGGCCACCGCTTACGGCTATCCGAATCTCCTTCAGTACGAGCACGTCTTCAGCGTTGAAATCGACCCATTTAAACAGGCCTTCATTCGGCGCAATGCAGCTCCTTCGGGGCCGATCTTTCGCAATGTCGTCGACGTTGGCATGCCCGGGGCTACTCAGGCGTAAGCTCTTCACATCTTGCCATCATCCTTTCGTTCACTGATATTGATATAGCATGACGGCTTCCGGAGCCATGGCGGATATTCCTTTGGGCATCGACATTCTCATCGCTGGAAGTTCGTGCGTCGACTTCTCGAGCCTGAATTTTGCCAAGGACAACAAGAAGAAGGAGTCTGGGTTGAATAAGCTTTTCGAGCAGTTCAAGAGGCAAGGTGTCTCAGCCATTCGACAGGATGATCCAATCGCCGTGGAGGTCATTGATTGCCTCGAACAAATCTTCAAAGATATCAAAGACGAAAAGGGAGAGTCAACCAAGACTTTTCTGTCCATTCTGATGTACGCCCTCGCACATCGACCCAAGATCTTAATCTTGGAGAATGTCACAAGGGCTCCGTGGGACCAATTCAAGGACTTCTGGCTGCCAAGCATCGGATACGCGGCGGCCTTCATCCAAGTCGACTCCAAGAATTTCTTGGTTCCTCAAACGAGGCAGAGAAAATATTTACTTGGGGTGGATGCCCGCCACTATGGAGACCAGGCCAAGGAGATCGTTAATACATGGGTTAAACTCATGGACATCTCACAGTGGTTCAAGAACCCGCCGGACCTTCAAAACTTCTTGCTTCCCCCGTCTGATCCGCGCGTGCTTCAGACTCGATTCCAGTTGGAACGGAACTTGCTCTCGAAGCCGAGAAGAGATGTCGAGGCTGTTCATTGTGCAGCGGATCACAGGTCAGCACGTCGAAAAGAAGAGCTCGGCACCTCGAATCCATATACTCGGATGGACGATAGAGGTCATGTTCATCCACGTGAGGACACCTGGCAGGGCGTCATTTCAGTGTACACATGGCGGATGCAAGATCTGCTGGATGTTGAATTCCTGAGAGCGCGGAAGAAGGGATTCGACTTCACTCACAAGATGTTCATCCTCGATGTTGGACAGAACGTTGATCGACAAAACGGAAGGCTGGGTGTCATCCCGTGTGTTTTACCCTCAGGGGATCTTTTCATCTCGTATGGTGGCCGTCCCCTCTTGGGTCTGGAGTGTCTCGCCGTGCAGGGCATCCCCATTGATCGCATCTCGCTTTCTGTGGAGGGGGAAAACCAGCTCAAGGACCTTGCCGGCAACGCAATGACGACCACTGTGGCCGGTGCAGCCATCCTCTGTGCCATCACTGCCGAGTACACGTTCAAGAGCAAGTCGCGCAACCAGCACGTGCAGGGCCTCGCCAAAGCCAACCGCGACCCGCTCCTCCTGCCCGAGGGCCTGCATCACACCGCGTCTGACGAGGTCGAGCCTTCCAATCTCCCAGTTTCCTATTCTGCCATCGACATCTCTCCACTCCAACGCGGCAGCCACGAATCTTCCACCAACAAGAACCAAGACGGTGCCCACTTGCTTGCTGCCTCATCAACTTCCTCCAGCAAGTCGCCTTCCGCCTTCGCAGACACCATGGTCTGGCAGGAGATCGTCTCCCGCGGCTGGGACGGCAACAAGTCGGTTGAGTTTTTCTGCACTCTCTGCCTTCATGGCCGCCGAAATTGTCACTGCGACGCCTTTCGCAAGCATCAGCACACCGGTGTTTATTTACGATGCGAGGACTGCAACGAGACGCGCTGCGAAAGCTGCGCTGGTAATCCAGACCACAATTTCGACAGAGCGAACCCCATCAACGACAAGGCGTCGATCGACAAGAGCACGGCGAATGAGCTTGCCATTGCCGCCTTTCCAGCTCATCTCTACGTTGATTGGGCAAGTGCCGATACGGTTTGCACTGTCGATATTCTCAATGACCTCGATAAACAGATCTTTGGTGGCCACCGCGAAGCTCTCCAACGTGGAATTCAGACGTGTGTAGCCGGAGTTCATTACTTCCAGACGGACCTCAAGTTCAGAGACGACCTGACCGTGACTTACGAGTCTGAAAAATCCATCATCACCATTATTGTTACCGAAAAGGATGTTACGTGGAGCATGCACATACGTCCTGTACATCTCGACCTCAAACACCCGTCGCTCCAGAACGACATTCGACTCGGCGAAGCGGCCGTTCAATTGGCAGTTCTGGGCTACGACCTTCGAAAGCCTCTCTTGAAGGCAGTGATCTCGGATCCCCACGCTGAAATTACGCCCACGGCAAACAACTAGCATTTGTTTGTTCAGCACCAAATCGACGTGGAGCTTCTCCAACAACTCACTGGCAATGAAATTAAGCCCGGATTCTACCAGGAACTTGTCGCTGCGAAGGGTCTTGCACCCGATCTCAAGAGTAAAATTGGAAACGATGTCAACGGGGAGTACCGCTTCACCAACAATTGTGCAACCCCATTAGGGCTCCTTTACACCAGCAAAAACGATCGTCTCAGCCCAGTCTACCTCATGCTTCACACGACATGCAATGGAGCTGCCGGTACCGATCGATGGGTTTTGACGAGGAACCCTCGTAAACTTGAGCCGGATCAAGTGCGAGAGATCATCTGCGTTTTGCCCCAAGGCTTCAAGCACCCCATGACAGAAGGACAACCTCCTGCCTCTATAGTCCCCGCTGTGCTTCCTGGCGTGTACACGTCTTTGCCGCCCGCCCTGAACGTTACTGTCCACGAGTGTGCTCCAGCCCGTGAGGTTGGTCTCAGCAATTTGCGGGAGCAGTCCATCGGAAATATTGACTGCCAATCTTCGACTCCGGCCATCTTGATCAGATTGGACAACACCGATATGCACTTTCCCGTCAAGTCACTCCTTGCTCAGTTGACACCCGCCTTTGGTGCGAACAATGTGGCAGTTCCACCCGATGACGATGAAGTCTGGTTTACGGTTGCCGAGCACGAGATCAAGGATGCGCTGGCATTGGCCTCTTCAGCTATCAACAAATTGACGACATCAAAATGTGCTGACCTTCTTGAAGTCGACAACATCATTCTGGAGTCTAGTGATGCATGCCGCAGATGCTCACCGAACACCCCCAAGGCCCTGCACTACTGGGATGCGGATGGCAACATTGTACGAATCGAGGACGAGGCAATGGCGGCCAAAATGGAGCAGGATATCCGACAGCGACCTGCTCCCCTCGTAATTCAGGCCCGGCAGGACCTTTATGTTGAAGGAGCTGATGGAAACAGCGTGCTGAGCATGAGGATCCTGCTCAACCCAGCGTCGCTCGCGCACCGAGCGCATGGTCACTTTCCGGTTGATAAAGACGTCATGTCGCCAATGGTTCGCTCAACCCGCGGAAGTGGCTCTTTCCGCGTGGACTTGAATTTCTTCGATCCCAGTCTGAAGGAGCTGGCACCGTTCAAGCAAAGTATGCACGCTGTTCTGGCAGGAGACCACCCTGTAGGACACTTCAGGCAGCCGCCTAACTTTGTACGGAACGGAATGAGCTTGCGTCCAGACCAACTGGAAGCTGTTCAATGGATGATCAAGCGCGAGATGGATGAAACGTTCACCGAAAGAGAATTCGAGGAGCGAATTCTTCCATCTGTGAACGTACGCTTGACTGCCGTTGCAAAGCTTGAGAACTCTGCCCGGGGAGGTGTCCTTGCACATGATATTGGCTACGGCAAGACTATAGTCACGCTTGGTCTCATTGACTACACCACCAGGCCCGGGAGTGGAGATTTTTCCATTCTGGAACGGTCGAAGTGGTTGGGAACCGCGAATTTCATCCACCTCAAGGGTACTTTGGTCATCGTGCCACCTCACATCGTCTCACAGTGGGCTCAAGAAGCTGTGAGATTCGTTGGTCAGCTTCGAATTCTCGTACTTGCCAAGACGGCCGATATCTCACGGAGCAAAATGGAAGCAGCAGACATCATCATTGTGAGCAACACTCTCATGTCTTCAGAGAAAAGTATAGAGAAGCTCGCTGCAATTTCCAAGCTGCCGTCGATTCGTCAAAAGAAATCGAGCCGAGACTTCCAGGACTGGCATTCTGAAGTCATTGCGACCATCAAGCATGCAGCCTTTGATCACAGTAACCTCCGTAACCCGAACAACTCCCAGGTCGAGGCAAGGATCCAAAGCCACCGCAACAGCAACAATGATTGGGTCAAGATGGCCGCGGCCAACATCGTGGCCGCAAGCGATCGTAAGACGCAACAGACTGCCAAGACTGCTCCCAAGAAGAAAGGCAAGGCAGCGAAGACCAAAACGACTACAAAAATTGACGTGCTAGAGGCCTTTCAAAATGGTGAGGTACTCGAAATGTACACTTACCACCGTGTCGTCCTAGACGAATTCTCGTACGAGAACACATCCATCGCAACCTTCTTCAAGAACACGGTCGCGCATTCGAAATGGATCCTCTCTGGTACACCGCCCACCATCAATCTCGGCCAGATCTGCGAGACCGCCGCATTGCTCAATGTTCATGTTGCGCGACCGACGCCATCGATGCCAGGATTCTTCCCCAATGTCACGAATGGGCCCAAGGTATCCGAGTTGACGGACGCCGAAGCATTCCGCAGCTACACAGAGCCCTTGTCCGCTCAGCTTGCCGCCGACCGTCATAAGCAAGGCCAGGATTTTCTTCTTCACTATTTACGGAAGAACAGAACGGACGTTAGAGGCGTGGAGATGGATGAGCTAATCTTCCTCGCCCCCATGCAACCCCAAGAAGAGTTTATCTACGACCTTGTGCAACAAGCACTCGTCGATGCCAAGTGGGACGTAGAAGGAATGCCATGTGGTCTCGGTGGTTTCCTTCGTATCACCTTGAACAATGAGATGACGCACAATGCCGGCTCCAAAGTCAAGGCTGCCGGCAAATCCATCTGGTCGGATGCAATTGACGGTCTACTCCTTCTGTCTTCGTTACCCGCTTCGCACGGCCGACAGGGTTTTGAGAGCATGGGGTGGAAGGAACCCAATGCCGACTTCACACTTCGAATTCTAAGCAAAAAAGCGTCTGCCGCAGCTGCTAGCAACCTTGCTCATTGTACCCAGATTTTGGTGTCGTATTTCGATCTCATGATGTACCTGGCGAACATGATCCCGGAGGAGGTCGGAGACAATGGCAGTGGAAAGGCTAAGAAAGATGCCTATTTTGGCCACATGGAGGAGATTTTCGACTTCATGAGAAACACCGACGGCGACTCTGGGGATATCATGTTCATGGCCTATCTTCATGAGGCGATCGTGTTCAGAGGCCGCCAGGATTATGTCCCTCCTGAACTCGATGTTTGGGACTTTAAACGCTGGTCCGAGTGGCTGGGTGGCCCTGGAACGTATAACTCTGCAGATTGGTGGCTTCTAGAGTCAGGTCACGACCTGTCCGATGCTGAACGAGATATCTTGTACGACCGATGGATTGACTCCAGCGATGGCCAAGTTGATACTAGAGAGGCTCGCATCGAAGTTATTCGCGAAAAGCAGGAGAGCGAGACTGCGTGCCAGAAAATGGCCGTGGCACTCGGACTGAAGAGAAGCGACGATACGCAGGGTCGACTCAAGAAGCATCTCGAAGGAAAGGCTACCAAGGACGACTTTGAGTTCGGCATTCAGATCCCGGCCCACCGGCCACAAAAGGGCAAAAATATCAGGCCCCGCGGGCAGTCCATTGATGAGACATTGAATACTTTCATCTTAGTTGTTCAAGGCGTTCAGGCAGGCATCAAGATCGTCATGGAGGCATGGCGACGCTATATGTTTCTGCTGAAGACAGATTGCCTTCGAGGTGGCAATTTGGAAGACCACAAAGAGCTGGCCGTCACGTGCAACGTTTGTGCGAGCGTTGCTGCTGGTTCCAATTTCCTTCAGTCTATTGCATGTGGTCATACCCTTTGCGACAGCTGCTTCAGAAACTTCACTGAGAGCGGAGGTCAGTTGTGCCCTGTTCCGACTTGCAAGGCACTCAGTCGCGGCTCCTTCATGCCTCACCAATTGTTTACTGGTCCGCAAAGTATGGATGCAGATCTGTCGGCAATTCCAAGCTCCAAAGTAATCAATATGGAGCACGTAATTCTCAACAATGTCAACGATGACGAGAAGGCCTTGATATTTGCTGCGTATGGAGGCATCAAAGAAGAGGTTCACAGCTACCTCCTTCGCCTCCACGGCAACCGAATCGGTGTTTACATGACCGACGGAAGAGATCAGGACTCGAACACCATCGAGGCTTTCAAGGCACATCAAGGCAAGGCCGTTCTCATCCAGAGTCTCATGTCGTCTGAGTCCGCTGGCACCAATTTGACAGAGGCCAACCACATCCTTTTCGCCGGAGTTCTGTTTACAGACTCGGATAGTTACGAAATGTACATGAAGCAGGCAAAAGGCCGTATCATTCGACACGGACAGAAGCGGCCTGTCTTTGTTTATCACTTCATCACACCGGCCACGCTTGAGTTCGACATTTTCAATAAGCGGCATGGCAACCGCATCCGCAACTGGGGTACTCATGGACGGATCCCCATTCCGGTACCCGAGAACAAACCCATGGCCACGGATTTTCCTCTGTTCTTCCGTCCGTACTTGGATATAGCGTCGGTTGAGAAACTTCTGCGCTCTGTGGAGTTTGAGGAGTATGAGAAGTGAACGGCGGCTTTTGGAGGACAGCGCCGTCAATGCCGACGTATGACGAGTCGGATCATTCGATATGAGGCGGGTTGGAGAAATCAGCAGATTGAACCGGATGTTCGAAGGCAGGAGACTGGCTTGAGAAGGACCGCATCAGCTGCAGGAGTCTTGTGTAGCAGGGTCTCAATCATGCCAGAAAATTACGGCAACGGCCACAACCTTTGGGGTTTGCTTGGTTCGGGAGGAATGGAGAGTAAGTTTGCCAAGTTGTTTTCAACGGGGATTCTTAATACTGTTTGAGTACATCACGTTTGGGCCGGCCGAGGATTTGAGGCCGGGGATGTATGAGTACAATTGGTATGGGTTGTTGACAGGGCTCGAGTATGGTTAGGTAGCGCAGAAAATTTCTACAGATCTTTTGGTCACCAACACAGCGTTCTACGCAATTCTCCTCATCTTCCCACACTGGCGGCTACGATCAAGAAAGCAAATGAGCAATAGGCTGCCGAAGTGGCTTGGCGATTGTGAGATCCCATGCAATGGCAGCTTGCAGCTTGCGCATGAATACATGATCAATTTGGTGGTATGTCTATGTTTTACTGCCCCTTTACCCAGTCGTCCAGGGACGTCGCTCTACACTCCTTGAGCGTGCCCAGGCGAACTCGAACCAGGTTTCCTTCTCTTGCTTAATACCTTAAGGAGACATCGTACACGCATACCCTCCTGACAGGACGCCCCTCAAAACCAGCCGCTCACTTTCCCCCCCAAACATTGCCAAGTCCCGTTCGCTCCGCTCATAGCTTCGCAACTACTGGCATCCTCTCCGGAACCTGCACCACAATGCCCGCCTCCTCGTCCGCGGCCGCAAACTCCACCTCCTGACAATCCTCCACGCCCACGCCGCTCGCAAACTGCGTCACGACAAAGTCGATCGCCGTGCCCTGGGGTCCCAGCGCGACCATGGGCGCGTGCCACGTGCCCGCGCCGTAGGTGACGGCCTGTCCGGGGGACGCGACGAAGGCCTTGAGGCCCTTGATATCGGGCAGGCCGCGGCCCTTGCCGCCGGTGGCCGGGGCCGGGAGGAAGTCCGTTTGCGCGCTGGGGGTCGGGAGGGTGGGTGCCACGATGACGAGGTACGCCGCGCCAGCCGCGGACGATGAAGCGGAAAAGGGGACAAAGGTCTGCGTTGTAAAGGGGTGCCTCTCCAGCACGCCGACCCTGAACCTCCCTCCCCTGCTGGGGCCCGCGTAGGTGTAGGGCAGCAGGGTCGAGATGGGCGGCTGGGCGGCGGGCTCGGCGGGCTCGAGCTGCCTTGCGGCGCAGGAGAAGATGCTCACGATGGGGCGGGAGGACCGGGAGGGCGCCTGGGGGTAGAGGTCTACAGGGGAGGAGACGTTTTGGTACTTGATGGCTGTTCCCTGGTTGGCGGGGACGGCGCTGAAGGAGGCGGAGACGGAGGCGGGTACGGTGGCGGCGGGGCGGACTTCGGGGTGCGGGTTCTCGATCACGTCGCCGAAGGGGGCGAAGGCGGCGCGGGTGAGGGGTTCCGCGGGGATTTGAAGGGTGAGGGGGGTTGTGAGTGTAGTTGGCGGCATTGTTTCTGCGTGTGTTGTGTCTCACACGGTGTGAGTTTGCTGCTATTGGTTGGGTTCTTCTTCTAGATGCGTGAGAGAGGGATGAGTTGAATGTGATGGTTATGTGTACGTGTGTATGTATGTATGTGTGTATGGCTTGGGAAGTGGCGTTTGAGGAAGGGCGGATCAAGTTGAGTTGAATTGATTTGAGTTGAGGTCGGAGTAAGCTCGTCTTTCATGAGCTTTGCCAGTCGGGGTGAGTGAGAGGGGAGCTTGGGGAAAGCTTCCGCTTTGGGTTGGGTATGGCTCGTGCGTCTCCGGGGCCTCGGCGCATGGGTCCAGATGGTCTCTGATAGGGATGCGTGGATGATTTTGCGGGGTCATTAACAGGTGTCATCAAAGCTTAGCAGTCACGGTAGCTCCACTGATGGCTTCCCCGGGAACGCACTTGTCTCGGACTCCCCAACTGCAATGTCCCTCAACACCTACCTTAGGGCCTAGTGTGTAGATGGGAGTGAACCGGCTAAGACAAGGTGTTTCTCCGGAGATGCAATAGGAGGCTTTTTGGCTTTTCTTCTCCGTCAGCCTCACTTGAGTGTGTTTAAACATTCTGATTAGTATCATGTTGGGACTTTTGATGTTCGGGATCTACGAGAGCTTACGATGACGAGGGCCGAGTACACTCATCGTCGGGGCTAGACTTACCCCAACATCCTTCATGGCCATATCCTAGTGCGAAGTTTAGGATACGATGTGCTCACTCTAGCGCTTGATCACGAGATGCCGACACTTTGAGTCATGGCTCAGCCCGGGGTCACTTACGTTGCGACGATGCCTTCAACGTGCGTGGCTGTGAGAGTATCGTTAACAATCAATTTACTAGTTAAAGACTGCAGTTGTATTTTTCCTGTATGCCGTTCCATACTGACCGAGGCAATTTGATCATCCACGTCATCTCGAGCCATTAGTATTCGCTAAAGTCGGACTGAAGTTGAGCTGCCCTCAGGGCAACGCAATGTTCTTACAACCTGATCAATACAATACCGGCAACTGCCAAAAGCCTCTCCGCAGTCTCCGCAGAGATCCTTCCATCTTCCGGCTACCGAGGTTGAAAATGGCTGACTCATTCTACATACCTTATTCGAGGGGTGGCGGGGTTCTCTCTAGGCTTCTCAGCCGGTTGCCACGAACTCTATGTCGTCTGATGACTGATGTCTTGTCCAAATCGAAGAATGTGTGGGCGCAAGGTTCACGAGGAACTGTATCTCTAGGAAAGCCTCGGCTCAAGACTCTTCTGTTGACTCTGACCAAGTAACCGGCAATGGTACGAGAATCTGGCCCGAGGGGGTTGGCGAGTACTGCGGCGCCCCGACAGACGCATCAACTACCAGGGATATTTTGGAGCCGAGACTCATAGACTACCTCAAGTTGTCTTATTCAAAACTCCACTGCCCAAGTTTCTGATTCTATAGACCGTCTCATCTTATGTTGTGGAAGGCAACTCCAAATCTCCTTCGTTCGTCCCGCCAACCGAGCGAAGTATCCTCTCAAACATGTCAAACTTCAATTCGACAATACCCTCGTGATCGGTTCCGGGAACAACACAACTCGCATACTCTATCGCGCCACGGCACTGCTCAGCCCTCCAGCACCCCTCGAACCACTTGGGCCCCTTATCGACGCCAATCATGTGGTCCTCTTCCGCCCAAAACACGTCAACCTTGAGCTTCGCAGTGCTCTCCAGATTCCTCTCAGCCTCCGCCAGCAGGGTGACGAGCTCGTCGTAGTCCCCCCACGAGCCCCAGTACCCCGGGTGCCCCGCCCGCTTCAGTAGCAGGATGGCGTCCTGGCTGAGGCCTCGCATATCCCCAGCGTACACCATTTCAATCAGCCGCGGCCAAATCCTCTCCTCAAACTCTGCCATCCGGGCGTTTTCGCTCACCTCCGCCGCGAGAGGAGGAGGAGGAGGAGAAGCAGGACTCGTCCGCAACGACGTCGGCAGCAGCCCGCTCACGGCCTGCATACTGGGAAAGAAGCCGCTTACCGCACTCGCCACGGGCGCTACGTGCTTCTGCGAGAAGCCCGCCAGCGTGTGGAACCCGCCCAGCACGGCCTCCGGCAGCCCGCCGGCGAGAATCATGAGAGCGCTGCCCGAGCGGGACTGGTGGACCCACGGCGCGGCGAGCGCCACGTACGGCCGCGAGGGAGAGAGGATATGGCGCTGGTGCAGGAGCGTGTTGAGGGCGTAGATTGTGCCGCCGCTGTGGGCGGCGAGCGAGACGTGGCGGATGCCGAGGTGCTGTAGCAGGGCGGGCACGATCTCGAGCCAGAGGCGGACGCGGTCTGGTGCGTCGACGTGGGTTGTGCCGCCGAAGCCTGGTCTGTCTGGGTTGATTATGCGGACGCCGTGTTTCTTTGCCAGGGCGTCTTTGGCGACGTGCAGATAGCGGCTGGGGTATGTTTTGTTAGACGTTGAGCGATGAGACGGCCGTGATGTGATTGTCTTTTTTTTTAAAAAAAAAAAAAAAAAAAAAGGGGGGGGGGGGGGGGGGGTGCGGGGGCGGGGGGGGGGCGGGGGGGGGGGGGTGGGTGTGTGTTTTTAGGGGGTGGGGGGTGGGGCGGGCGGGATGTGATTGTCTTTTTTTTTAAAAAAAAAAAAAAAAAAAAAAAGAGAGAGATGAATGGCTTACCTGCCCAGGAGGGGACCGCAGAAGAGCAGGACATGCTCACGCTCTGGATCGTCTGCGTTGCGATAACCGTAGTCGCAGTAGGTGACTTGGAAAGGATCCGGGCGGTCGGGGCCGGGGGCCAAAGTGAAGGATTGGTGGAATCGCGGGTCGTTGAGGTACTCTGCCGGGTCCGGATCCGTTGGTGACGACACCGGCTGATTGGCATTCTGTGACACCATTTCGATTGATGCAGGAGCCTGCATGGTGTTATTCTCTATGGCTTGCTTAGAATCACCCGGATAAGTCGCGATTCGCAGTCTGCGATGACGTTTGTATCTACAAAGTTGTCGATACTGTGCTTTGAATGAGCTCCGGCTGGTGGCACCACCCGGACGGCGTTTTTGACGTCTCCCGACTGTGCCGCGCGTTAGTTGGCCGAAGTGGGTAATCGGACTCTAGTGCTTATCGCCAAGGTGGTGGGATGAGGAATGAGGGATGAGGGATTCGCTGTGGTGCCTGGGTTCACCAGACTCCATTGGGAAGTTGTCTCACTACTTCTCGACGCCGTTCTCGAAAGTAATGTCAATTCGTGATCTCGAGTCGACGATTCAGGCTCTCTGATGAGGGGGCGAGGAACCGGGTGTTACTCAAATACCCTACGCTTCTGTCTTTACTGTCGCATCTTCAATAAGGAGGGATGGCGGCCACAGTTGAGAGACTTCAATGAACGACAATCAATGAGCGACAGGAAGCGGTATGTATGGCTGTAGCGATCTGTGAGGGAAACAATATCTCGAGGTGGAGGTTTCTAGTACATGAAATATTGAACGCAGATCAAGACTTTGGAGGTTTTGAAGCCACAGAGCCAGCAACAAGGACCAATCTAAGACACCTCTACGGACTATAGCAATACCTTTACAATTCTCGAACGCTTTGCCTTCAACGTATCATAAAACCAAACTTCGAGTATGTCCCCATTGAGCCTGGCCTTTGCAGTTCGATTCTCAAGCACTACAAGTCAACATAGCTTCCTCCCACCAGCGAGAACTTAAGAAAGATGTAGATAGAAAAATTTCGTCAGACTATCATCAGCTAGAGTAAGAACACTCGTTCTACACATCAACCAAACAATGCGCGCCTCACTCTTCCTCGCCGGCATCCTGGCCACTCTCGCCGTCGTCGCCGCCCCCAACTCTCCTCCTTCCCCCGCCGGACTCAAAGACACAAAACCAGAACAACGCACTGTAGACCTCGAGCGCCTCAACGCCGACGTCACAAAAGCAGATCAAGACATCGAAGCCGACAGCAAGGGGTTCTCGACGGCACCGGAACCGGGGCCAGAGCCGGCAGAGCCCGCGTATCCGTTGGGTCCCCCGCCAAGGCTTCTCCCGTCGTGGGCCCGCCCGAGGCCGAGGCTGACAGCGAAACCAACTAATCGCTCAAGGATCAGGATGCCTACATACACACGAAGGCTCTCGACGGCCTGAAGCGTTTGGATGCTGTCGCCGTTGAACTTGCTGCCACCGGCGCCAGAGAGGGCGAGATGGCCAAGAACAGGGAGAACAAGGTGGCGAGGCGCGGCGAGAACGCTAACAGAGACAACAACACGCACCAAATCTTGGTGGACTCGTTTGTCGACCAGGCCATCGGGGCGTCAGCGCTGGCTTGCAACGGCAAGACTTGCTTGAGGAACGACGTCAGAACGTCCATCTCTCTGTGCATGACGGAGGTGGATAAGGGGCGGATGAAGGTCAATGAGCTTTCGAAGGACAAGGCGTCCGTTGCTGGGTCGCCTAATCGCTGCTCTGAAGTGATGTGGAAAATTCACGATATCGAGGGGTATGAGGGCGATGTAACGATTCTTGGTGGCGGTGCTGATGGGTTTTTGTTCTAGGGTTTTGGGAGTGGGGGCGGAGATGTTCAAGATGACTGGCAAGGGGTTAAGCAGAAGATTGATGGAATCTCATTTGAATCAAATAGGGCTCTTCAATGTTTCGAATGCTCTACGTTCTGCCGATCACCGAAAGAGTGTTGGTGATGATGGACCGCAGAAGACAGATAAGTGTTTGTCGTGAAAGCGATTCGAGAACTTGTTCAACCTGCCAGATCGTTGAGCGAGAGAGAGCCTGCCCGGCATATCTAGTCTCTCAGCCATAGTTGGAGAAGCAACAAGGCGTTCGTCTATACTACGGGACGTCGAAGCATAATGCAACCCAGTAGTAGTAAGTAGTCTGGCGTCAGAGGGTGAAAGATATTCAAATCTATCTCACGGCCACCCTTTCTTCCACACCAACCTCAACTTATTTGTTCACACCAGGCTTCGAAGACAGAAAAGGCCTGTGCGAAACACAGACTGGAGGACTACTGTTTCTTTGACCTGAAAAGGGCGTCTTCTGGTGTAGTACAACAGAAAGGAGTGCTAATTCCCGCTCATGCCTTTGGCTATTGCAATGTCCATCAGGACAATACGAGACAGATGTACCCAGCATCAATACGCAAAACCAGTGCATCATCATCGAGATGAGGTCAGCATCACTGGATAAAGAGCAAGAAACACGGCAGCAGAATTGATCCCGTCAGAAAAATTCCTCGGATGGGAAGCGACATGAACCACGAAAGTCTTGCCCAGCCGTAATCACTTTGCCAAAGACTAAGTCTTTCAATTGCGCATGAAGGCAGAGAGGGGGACACATCTCCACGCACCAGCGACTGAAAAACATTGACGTTCAACATACACTGCATATGACATGAAGAATTGCCTGAAGGAATACCTGGCCCTCGTCCACGCAGGGAACCTTCTACATGGCCCTATGAAAGGGATAAAGATCTGCTTGGTCGGCTCGTTATGTTAGGCGCAGTTGCGCGGGAGAGACGTCGGACCACTGATCTCGAAGCCTGCCAGCTTCTCGTGGCTTTCTTGGCGAGACGGTTCTCTCTTGTCAAGGCAGGGCCTAGAATCTAGACATCAAAAACAAGTCTCAATTACCCTGTCCAAGGCCAGTCTCAATCGCCAGCCCCGAAAACCGTGGCGCATCACCACCAAGCAGAGACAGACATCCATGAACGACGAAGAAAGCCCCGATCCCAGTTTCCAACGACATGATGTAAGTCGCTTTGCGAATCTCGCAGCGAGCATGCAATGATTGCAGTCACCCGGTGCCTCGGTGGAATCACAGCGAATCGCAATAGGCTCTGTTCGCGAGTCTTGCTTCCTTTGCTCGGAGCTCAATTCCATCTTTATACAGGTTCACGAGAAGACGCGCTCAGCCCCCAGTCTTGAAGTAGAAAGGACTAGGCCGTCCGACGAAAATTACTGAGACAGCCCTAACATGGGACGAAAGCAGAATACCTACAAGCGTCTCTTCGCAAATACATCGGCAGTGAAGGGTTGGTCATGGTCGGCTAGCGTCTCCTTGATGTGTGTGTTGCCAATGCCTGACTCCAGACATGCGATCGCTTAAGCTACAATCTTTGGACACTGAAATCACGCCGTCGGAGCCTGGGGCCGCAATCAGTTTCAGACTCCGCAATAGATCCGGCATACCAAGGCTAGGAGATAAAATTACAAATATTTGTGGTAAAATCGAGTCAAAACGTTTTACGAATCATACACTCCTCAACATGGTAAGTTTCAATACACTAAAAAGAATTAGAAAGCCTCTCCTGCAAGCGCATGATCGGAACAGAAGATGCTCATTTACGTCTACCGTGTTCTTCTTCACTGGAATGGCGAAGAAGGCGGCTGGTCTGGCCCACAGTCAAACGACATGTGTATCGTGAGTCAAAATGGGAGTGGAGTGTCTACCAACGACACTATGAACTCTGTTGAACGCACAAACAGAGATAGCAGCACGATATACTAGGAACACAACAAGGGGCACCTCGTTCTGTTTGGCCGAACACTTCACCGCTGGTTTCTACAACAGCGGGCTCGACTGCGATGAACAGTAGACAAAGTTCTGGTACGATACCCGAAGCTTATCAGTATGATTCAGTCTTTGCAAACTTTCTCCCTCGGAAATCTAAACGATAGAAACCAAAGAAAAGTTTAGCAACGGCATGATGTCGTTGACCTACTCATGGGCAGTGAAAGCGGAAGTATAGCAGAGTCCGGGAATACCAACTCACGACCCCGCACTGCACCTCGGAGAACCATCACAGCGTTGATTTAAACTCCTTCGAACATAGGGCGATGGAAACCACCTAGAGCAGGTCATAGAATAAAGTTGCTTACATCAAAGCAAATCAGCAAAAGTCAAAGATCAAGCGCATCCTCAAACACCACCTGATCGTCATTCGGATGAAGCATGTTAGCGGAAGGTATATGTGGATGCCCCGCGTCGATGAGCATCCAGAGGGGCTGTGGAATTTCGTCGCGGGCCCTGAGAGACTAGCATTCTTAGCTAGTAATCCTGGCTGTAGCATCATCTGATGACCTGGCGTTGTGGCAGAGTGGTCTAATGCGCAAGACTAGAAATCTTGTTCCTTCGGGAGCATCTGTTCGAATCAGGCCAACGTCGATATCATTTTTGCATTTGCCAACAAGACCCGACTTGAATCCGTGTTGGGCCTCCATCAATGACGACGGCCTCGCGTCGATTCAGGTGCGATTGGATCTTGGCAAAAGGTACTGCGTCCTGGCGGTCTGCAACGCAAGGACGACAGAGTGGATCAGCCTGTCACGGTCGCAGGTTCGAAGATCTGAAATGTGTCCCTCGCACGTTTTGGAAACAGACAGGGGTGATGCCAGCGTACCACTCAACAGAAACGTGTGACTCTGGAATGAACGCAGCGAGCGAGACGGCATCAGGTTGCGTCCATGTTCCGACGTCTCGAGTCGAGGGGTTAGCGCTCGGAGCGAGGAGCAGTTAGCCCTGGCGCCGCCTGACTCGATTTCATCTCGACATCTTGTTTGGGGGCGTTACTGTGTACACCAAGTCAGGGACTCAATGCGTGAGTTTCTCTTTACGGACGTCTTCCTGTTGGTCTGCCTTTCTTTGGGGCAGGAACGCTAGTAGACTCTGGGTTGATGGAAAGGGGGGAGGAAACGATATCTGAGCGATAGGCGGATTGAATGGAGATCCTCATCAGCGAGCTAGACAGGCTGGTGATGAGTGGTAATAGACAGACTGCGCCGCTGACAGCATTTGTCGGTGTGGCCACCTGAAAGCCGCATTCCCGACGACATATTCCCGCGCGCTGCACTTAATAGGGGGTTCCTGCGGGAACGAGCTAAATAGTCACGCGAGCTCTCCAGGATTTCTAGAAGGACGTGATGATTAAAGGGCCTCGGATCGTGTCGCGCCGCGCCTTGGGTTCGGTAATCGACGGTGCCGTATTTAGCACGTCCGTTCGGCGCTACATTGGATTCCTGGTACGAGGCCGCTGGCACCAGAAAATGCGGCCTGCTTCCAAGACCAGCGGTTCTGATCTCGCGTGATAGCACCTGGGCCGGCTATGAATTACTGGTCGTCGCAGCAACTTCCGCTTAACCAGATCTGAGACGATCCAATCGATGAGCGGTTCAAGAGCGGGCCTTTGGTAAGTGGCCAAGTGCGATTGAGTGACCAGTGTCATCTCCCGCGCGGCGTTAAAGAAGGCTCCAAGAGGGGCAGAAATCATAGCCGTCGATAATGGCAGGTCTCATTTGCCGCCGAAGATCTGTCAGATGACGGTGAGGGGCCCCCAAAGGTACTGAGATGAACCTCCACTGTGGCCAGTGACGGTCTCGACTGCCCAGCCCCGTGCGTCTTGATTTGATGCTGGCGATGCTTGACAATCTGGAATTTGGCCAGAGGAAATGGCACTGAGGTCGGTGATCAGCCAGTGAGCAGCCAGGGAGCCTCTTTTGGGACGAGGCGGAACCAGGTCAGGGGTGGATGAACTGAGTGGGTGGTCAGAGCAGAGAGTCCAGACCGACGAGTTGGTTGGATGGAGAACCAGAGATTTCAATCTCGTTCACTGCCTGCCATAACTGTGAGAGAGCTCCAAGCGGCTTTTGTGGAGCTATGCAGCTGTAGCACAAGAGCTGCGTGGCGCCGAACCAATTTATCGCCAAGCACCGACGGGAAAGTAACATTCTGCGCGTAGCACGGCTTGGCCGTCAGGCGTTGAGCAGAGCGCATCAGAGAATCCGAAGCGTTGGTGCAAACTTGTGCAAACTTCAGTTTGGAGCTGCAGCTAAATTGCGGTGTGATGGGCGATTCCCTGAAGAAAAGGCGGCATAGCATGGCAAGGCGAGCCGCGAGTGCATGGAATAGCCGGTGACCTGCTGCAGACCCGACCCTCCCCCGGGACCCGGTCTAACGACCAATATTGGCTCCGTTCAACCCCGGGTCCAAAGCCTCTGTATTTTCTGGAGCCTGGACCGAAAGGCGACGGAACAGAGTGTCCACCTCACCCACTGAATGCCGCTTGGCGGTTGGTTTAACGGGCGCGGGTGCATTGGCATTGGAGTCGCTGTCGCAGTATTCGGGGGGCATTGCTCAATGCCGACAGCTCTCCATACAATGCGACCACATTCCATGCTACGCAATGCCCAGTTGTGGACGCCGTGTCTCTTCGGGCACCCGGTGCTGGAAGTTTGGAAGTCAACGACGCAGCCTGATTGAACCGGGCCTCTTATTAGCAGAGATGACGTGAACCAGACTTTCCACCTCGGGGGCCCCCAATGACAGGCGTCTGACCATGGAGGCTCCAGCGGTCACTTGTTCGTCTCCACGACGACTGAGACGGTTAAAAGAGGCTGATATAGCGGCAGGCTGAGCAACAGCAATGTTGCGAAGAGTGATGACGATATTTGGGCTTGGATGGCTCGCCGGTGCAAAAGGCCCGTGGCTGATATATGACAGCTTGGCGGTTGAGAGAGGCAGGTGATGACAGCCTGACTGACAGTGATGACAGCGAACCGCCGTTTTGCCAACAGAGCGTGACGGGCGTGATGGATGAACGAGCGCAAAGCGAATGACGGCGGTGGTGGACGAGCTTGAGATCAGGCCCCTGAAGTAGCGGCGACGATCGAGAGCACCTAGTGCGTTGTTGTCGATAGCAGCAAGTTCCAAGCGTGAGGCGGATGTGGATGGAAGCCGCCAAAAGCGCAGCAATGACCGACAGAGTTGCGGGTCGTCGAGGGACGTGGTTCACAGTCGCATCGCAGTTCCAGTAAAGACCAGGAGCCCTATTATCAGTGCCTAGTGGACCACTAACCACTGACCACTGACCAGTGCCAGTCGCAGTCAGCTTTTGCAGGTTCTCAAGCGAGTGGAGTCCAGCAACCTCCCACGTCGTGAAAGATCCACCTCCTCTCCTGCTCCAGTGCTTAATTAATAGGTGTGGTGTCCGTACCTGGGTACAGATGCATCAAGGTTATAGTGATTGCCCGTGTTGACTAAGACGAATGGACCGGACCTTAATAACGGCCATTATTACCTATTGCTGGCTCTTAGGACCCATTAGCCAGGGGAAGCGAAGCCACTAGCAGCGATAGGCTTCTGGAGGCCACGAGGCCCCACCGACTTGTCCTGCAAGGTACCCGGCCCTCCAATTCACTTGCTGCAGGTACAAACCTGGAAAGTGCAAGTACACGGCAGGTGCAAGTTTGAGCAGGAAGGAACTGCCCACCCAGGCGTGTACCTTAACCAGCGTGAGGCGACAAGGAAAGAGCGAGAGAATCCAAATGTTGCATTCAGTCATGGGACTGGCCAGTCAAGGAAATAAGCACATTGCTCTGTACATTTCCAAGAGAGTTGGAAGGAACAGAATTTAGAAAAAGGATGGTGCGATTGGAAGGCTAGAACGCAGTGAACTCTTTTGGGCAATGCCGTTCGTATTGATTAAAATTTGACAGAGAATGACTAGAAGCAGAACCATATTGGGACGAGGTCGTATTCGTGGCCGATTCGAGCGGGCGGGAACTGGGAAAAATCCGCAAGTGCTTCTTCTTGTTCGTTGCTTTTTTCGTCGCTGGCAACACCGCAACGGTCAACGGTCCCGCGTCTCCCACATCGCTCCCACCTTATCCCGAACGGCAGCTTTCATATTTAGAATCATCCCTCGCCGGATTCCGAAAAAGCATATTCATGCCGAGTCATCCGTCGCCAAATATGGACTGGATCTGGATATAGATGGATGAGTAGGCTTATTGCACGACTAGTGTATCTCCCAGGACGGATACCATGTTTCCCGTAGCATCCCGCACCTTAGGTAATAGAGGGACTTCGAGGCAGGTATCACCATGATTGCGGCCTCTGTGCGCCCACAGGTGCACTCACAAGAAAAAGGGTATGAATAATTCTCCGACCCTCAGCTTGAGTGAGTGACGAGGGGTGAGGCATGTTTGCACCTTCGCGTCCGGCAGAACAGCGCTTTTTGTCCACCCGCAGACATCCTTCATTGTTGCTTGTAAATTGCTGGCAAGAGGACCTGAAACGAGCCAACACTGGGGAAGGCGGTCATCAACCTCCAGCGCATGCCTTGGTCCTGCCTTGTTCTGCTTCCCTCAGAATGCGGTAACACCGAGGGGGCCAGTCATCAACTGGCCACAGTCAGAGTTGATTACTCCTCCCCAATGTGGACAAGGTAAGCTAGGTACAGAATGCAGGTGGGAGAGAATCGAGAAAGGATGATTGCCTCTCCAGGGTAAGAACGCCGTGGTTTGCTAATCCACCCCGCGCCGTCCCAGGTCCTTTTCCAGGTTCTCATCTACCTTACTACTAGGTATTCATCAATGACAATTTATCCGTACTGCGTGTCCAGGAGCACCTCTTGAACCCTTCATCACAGTCCACCGATGCACGCGACATGCTATCGGACATTGGGCCCTTTGCCATCTCCTGTGTTCCTACTGCGTCTGTCCCTCTGTAGACTGTCGCAGGTGAACAAGTCTGTTCCTTGCGCAATCCCACTGTCACGATCGATCCTCGACATGGACCAGTCGTCTAAAGCCTAAACGACGGGCAAGGACTGCAAATCCTCGCAAATCTCTCGACATGTCTGCTCTGCCCCTCCTCGTCTCGTCTCTCGCCCTTCTCCTGGCCTCCAAGCACCCCCACGTCACCGTTGTCTTGTCTCCGTCTCAGTCTCAGTCAAACTCAAGCTGGTAGCACTGCAGTCCTTCCAAGTTCCGACACCTCCATCACTTCGAACCTCTTTTTGTCTCCCACCTCCATCTGGGTGTCTCCTTCTCTCCGCCCCTCTCTAAACGCGGACCCAGCTCTATTCTTTGCGCACAGAAAGATGCACCATGCAAACACCCCGGATCCCTGCTTGATGCTCGTCAACCGCCAGGCCCAACCTGGCATGGCCCGGACAAGGCCCGCCAGGGGTTTCTCGACAGCCACTGTCTGTGCTTCTCTCTGACCACCCACACCACGAACAGGGGTCACCTCTCTTTACTGGCCCTGAGACAGTCGTGGACTCTCCTTTACTCCCCAAATCCACCAAATGTCCCGACACCCTCTTCCCAACTTCGAGACGTGAGACGCAACATCTCTTTCCCAAGCGACTCATCCTCAGACCAGCTTATCCCGTCCCGTTTCCTTCTCTTCCCACAGACTCCTCCGGCTTGCCCTCGATCGTGCATTTGGAGCTCGTGTTTCTTCGCAGCTGCGCTGGTCCCAAAACACGCTCCAACACTGCATCCTTGACAGCAACCAAGATCCCGGGACTCGTGCGACTCTGCAGAGCCGCTCCGCCTCCGAAAAGAAAGACCTTCAGACACCGCTTGGTCACACGCTCTCTCTCACGCTCACTCACTCACTTACCCATCCATTTTCGCTCACACCCGCGCCTGGGAGTTCGCCTGCGACCGCAACCGGGGGTTACAGTCGTCCACGACCCCGTCACAGCAATCCACCTAGTTTCCAATCTTGAGCTGGAAACAAGGCGCGATCGAGCATCCCACCACCATTAATAAACTTCCAGGGACAACGTCAGTTCACGTCACTGCCGCCCTTTTTTGCTTTCTAGAAACACTCAAGAGCCGCCTCGCCCCCGTTGCCCCGGGCCACTGTCCTTATTCCTCTGCCACTTCCGCATTTGGACTGCTAATCGCGCCCACGGAAATCAGCTTGATGCGGCCTGAAATGTGCATGGGAATACGGACGACCTGCCTTCAGTAAAAATCCGGCAAGCTTGGGCGTCCTTGCAAGCAGGACAAGAGGATCACCAGCTAAAATGGCCTTACCGAGAGAGTCGAGCTTTATGCCGGCCATCAAATGCTCGTCATGCGGCCTCGACGTAGAAATCTCCATGATGGGCGAGCACGTCTGCGGCGGCCCAGGTCCAGAGCGTAAGCTATCATTGTCCCTCCAATCTGCTGCTAGACATATCAGGCTCACAGCATGTACAGCATCGGCGCCGCCAGATCGTCCAGACAGCCTGGGATCATATGACCAGCCGCCGCCTTTGGACAACAAATATGGACGCATGGCACCTCCAACATTAGACACTAGTGCCGCCAGTATGCTCATCACCCAATTTGACTCCTGGTGTATTGTTGGCTAACGAAACTAGATCTCCCATATTCGCGACAGGGCCAGCTGACACCCATAAGTACATCGACTGGTTCAATCAGTATTTCGCCCAAGACTCCAAACAGCCAGGCTATGGGCCGAAACGACGATTATTTTCAACCGCAAATCGCAAACGACTATAACTCAAACCAGCAATCTCGACGACCTGGAGGATACGGAGCATTCGAAGAAGGGGATGACAACGGATCTGAACAAATGTACCCAGGCGAACAGAAGAAGCAAGCGCCGAGTCTTCTTCAGCGTATGAACACGATTGCACCGGGACCTTTTGAAATGGGCAGGAGAGCAGGAGGACGAGGAGCAACAAAGAACGCATTCGCCCCTTCGAAACAAGATTCTCTGACTCCCGACGAAAATATCACAAGCGACCGGCCACTGACTTCTGCATCGAACAACTCCTTCATGTCCTCTGGAAGCAGTAATGCTGGCGGGATTGCGCCACCAAAGCTGCCAAGAAAAAACGGTTATGGAGGATTCGGGCCGCCAGGAACAACTCCAGAAGATATTGAACCTGAAGCCTATGTTAGCCGCGCTGGTACTTTCCCGCGGCCTAGCGAGCCCATCGAGCCGCCTCTGAGAACGCCTTCAGCACCTCCCACTCGATCTGACAGACTCAGAGGACAACCCAACGGCGGAGAGCACGAGAGGAAGATTTCAATGGGACCAGACACATCGAGAGCGCCGCCGCCGAGAACGAGTCTACTGCGCCCGACGACATCGGGAAGGGACGGTGCGCCACCGGTAGATTTGGCGAGCGAGTTTGGTTCATCGAACCCGTATCACACTCCCTCGGCCTCTACGTCGTCCGGGGCGTCCATGTTCAGCCATGGTCGCCAGGCCAGCTCTCAGAGCAGCTCACAATCTAGCCCAGCGAATCCGCGAGGACGTCGAAAACCTTCCGACGTGACCAATTTCGACAACTTAGTGAACGACATTGAGTCTTCCATGGAGGCTATGAAGTCCCCTGGTATGCCGCCACCACCCCAGGAACCCCTCGCGAAACCGTATTCGCGTAGTCGAGCACCGCCATCCGCGGATCTTCGAGATGACCCCGCTGTGCAAGGAGGCAGGCCCCGTGCGAGGTCACCACTTGCGACACCAGACTACGACCGTCGCAATCCCATGGATCGTTACAATCAAACACATGAGCGCCAACCAAGCGACCAGCGCAGCGTTTCGTCCCCGCCCCGCAACCGGCCTTCGCGAGGAAACTGCAAGTCTTGCGGCGATGCCATTACGGGCAAGAGCATTTCATCTAAAGACGGCCGCCTCACCGGACGCTATCACAAGGCGTGTTTCGTTTGCACAACGTGTCGCGAGCCCTTCTCTTCAACAGAATTCTACGTCCTCAACGACAAGCCTTACTGTGGTAACCATTACCACAAGCTCAATGGTAGTTTGTGTGGTACTTGCAGACGCGGCATCGAAGGTCAGTACCTGGAAGACGAAGATCGCATCAAGTACCATGTTGGATGCTTCCGCTGCGGCGACTGCGGCATGTCCTTGTCGAATGGCTACTTCGACGTCAATGGCAGATCATACTGCGAAAAGGACGCTTGGCGCCGCATGCAACCGCCGCCGCGAATGATCAACGAGGAGCGGCGAGGACGCTCCCCTGGTGGCCTCGGCATTCCCGGACAAGGCGGCCGACGCCCCAGTAACGGGCAGTCCGGCATGAGACCACCAATCGGTCTGCCTCGCGGGCAGAGAATGGCCCCCGGGACGGGACTCGCCCCGCCCATGCCTACAATGAACAAGCGCATGACGAGACTCGGAATGATGTAGCCCGCCAGTTACTACTCGAATCCTTTCCGACTACATATTCGCTTCGCCGTATATGAATCATCATTTACAATGCATTTTAATACCCCACGACATGCTTACGACCACGACGCTACCCCCACCCCATCCCGCCACAAACGTATCATTTTCTGCTATCTAGAGTTTTATATACCCAGTCCTTTGTGGACTCTATTGATACCTGTATCGGACGACGCGCTTGTCTCGTCTTCATTTTGAGTATGAGTTTATATAAGCTCTTGAGGAAAGGAAGCCACCAACATTGGAGACATGCCAACTGTACGGAGCAGAGGAAGGCCTTGCAGGTGATGGGGTGCACATGAGTGCTTGTACAAAGCCAGCCATCGAAAGAGGCTCGCCGGTTTCGAGACCACAACCTGTAGCAAGCCAAAAAAAAAAAAAAAAAGATCAATATTGAGTCAATGTCTTTAACACTTCTAAACGGCATACTCCATGTGCATGTTCTTAAGCCTGGTCTGCTGTGCGACTTATTCTAATGACCCTAGATTTCCCTGCAATGTACCATCGTCGACTTGGGCACGCAGTCCTACGTAGTCCTGGCTTCGCAGGGAACGTAGGAGCTATTGCAGTCATGATTTACAGAACTTGCTTCTTGTATGTATAGGCTAAGCTGAACACTTCGATTGGGAAAAAAATAAGCTCTAATTCCATCTCACGTGGCGCAGCTTAAGTCTCCTGGCGATCGTGATCGCGACTAACATAACATCAACTGACAACCTTGATTTCCCTAACTTACAGCGCAAACAACCATTATCTGCTTCTAGCTTCTGGAGCGCTCAAGCTCCACGGCAAAAGGCTCTGAGGACTCGGATTCGGGTTGAATCTGCTGCATTCGCGCTGGGCATGGATATACTGCAGTGTGATGGTTACTTTTGCCCATCACGGGATCAGGGATAAGAGGCCCCCCCCCCCCCCCCCCCCCCCCCCCCCCCCCCCCCCCCCCCCCCCCAACCCCCCCCCCGACAGACGCGTCCCCGCCCCAAGCTCCGGCCCCCGACGAGATCACGAGCGGGGGGGGCCGGCGACGGGCGCCCGGCCCCCCCCCCCCCGCCCGCGGGGGGGGGTGCCAAGTGTGGAGTGAGCCATGTGGGGGGCCACGGGTCCCCGGTGGGGAGTGGGGACGCGCCAGGGGGACAGGGGCGGGCGGACGGACGGGGGTCGACGGCGGCGTATGGACGGCGTGCAGCGTGAGTTCGCCCGCCGCGCGACAGCTGCGCCGGGACGCCGACCTCGACTCACTTCCATTTTAAAGGCATCGACGTAGAATGAATTCAGACGGGCGATCTCAGTAGAGAAGCCTCGAATGCTCCAGCAAACCTTTTCATTTAGAAGACCGGCGGGAGGGTATCGAGTGAATTACATGCACGGATGACAGCTTGTTGCAGACAGTATGATGCCCGCGCAGCACGAACAGCTTTACATCCCCATGAGTAACACCATAATGAATCTTTTGTGAGACTTCCTTAACTTTCAAATCGAGGTTCGTGCCTTCTTCGTGATGGCTTCAAGCAGAGGCTCTAGAGTCATTCTGTCTGGGCCCTGATTGATTACGTAAGGCAACACGGGTACTTTCTCAAAGTAGAGGATTGGTGGAGTCACCCGGTTTTGAGAAAATGTCGTGATCCACCAAGAGGTTGTTTCAAAAAGAATGGCTAGTGTCGTGGGTTGATGAGGATGGAACTCGCTGGCATCGTGCGCTGGGTACTGCGCACGGTTCGAGGACAACCTGACTGGCGGGTGCTAGTCCTGGCGCAAGGCGTATCCGTACAGAGGACGGTGTTGGTGGTTCGTCTGATTGTGAGTAGCCCCGGCTGGATTTCCGCTGCGAGCGGGTGTTCCGTGGAGCGCGCCGTGGTGGTGCATTGCTGGATTGGAATAGAGAGAGTGGGCCTCGTTCGCTCAGTGGGAATAGGTACATTACATCAGGAAGTCTGGTGAGGAGATTCGGAGAAGGAATTGACTGCCAGATGCTGTCGGATGAACCTGACGGCAGTAAGCGCATGGTTGTCGAGGTAAGGGGGAAGGAAGGCGAGAGCGTTGATATAGGGAAGCAGCGTGATAGCGAGAGGATAGGTAGGTGAATGTTTCTTCTCTTGCTTCGTATGTTTGACATGATTAGCGAGGCCTGATGATGGTTTAATTTGAGTGTTTCTTTTCCCCCGAGACTCTTTTCTTTCTCTTGGTTTTCGCTTGGTAAAAAAAGATGTCTTGCGATTGCGAGATGAGAGCAGCTGCCCTGCGTCCACGGGCGCAAGTCACCTGCAAGCTGCAGCTGGTCCCTTTCTTGCCTTGCGCTGCGTTAGGGTGGAGGTGATTATGTCGTGCGTTTTTGTTTCGGAAGCTAGCAAAGTAAGACTGCAATGGAAGTTCCTGAATCGTTCGAAATCGCGTGCAGTGGTCCTGTCCGAGTCTCGAAAGCATAGACTTTCTGTCCTTCTGACGCAAGGTCAATGTATGAGGAAGAGAGCACTGTCGATTGCGGATGTCTGTGTGATTTGATCCTCTCTGGAGACAATGACATTCATTGGCACCTTCTTGAACGGGCAGAGGACCGCGACGATCTTCTTCAGCTCTTTTTTATCATCTTGAGCCGAGTCGAGGACTCGAGCGCCTTTGTCAGTGACTCGGTGTGATAGTCAGGAATGGCTAAGGACGGTTGGAACCGTCCAAAACCTCGCGTACTGTGGTATTCCCGTCGAGGTACGGCTTCCCCTTACAGATACACATTGCTTCCTATTATCGGTAAGGTATCCGTATCCTTACGTGTATGCCATCTTCACTCCGTCGTTTCCAAGGCTTTCATCTCTTGCCTTGGTAGAGCAGCCAAGACACGTGGGATATCCGGCAGCAGCTGGGCACGTGTAAAGTGCTTTTTCAGTGTAAGGGGGAAGCTGAGTTGGTGAGGTATATTGACGCGCAAGATTGGCTGTCTCGGTACTTTGGAACGAAATGGCGATTAACTCGGATCGACAAGGGTGTGTCATGGAACCAGGAAAGGGGAGCTCGGGGCTAGCGTGGTTCTGGGAGCGCCACTTCATGGTGCCGTTCCTGGTTTCGCGGCTTGGACTGGCCAGGGGGAGAGAAAGAAGCCGATTTTCGTCGGTGAATTTCTCTTTGACCTTTGTTCGCGAAACAGTATCAGCGGCACGGGAGCTATGCTTGATGACCCGGCAACAACTCTGAACGCGTGGCTTTCTTTGTTAAAAAAAAAAAAAAAATTGAAACAAAAAAATTCTTGCCGTATGTCTCGCCTCTCGCCCCAGCAGCAGCAACGCCAACAACGGGATGGAGGAGAAGATGGCCTGGCGCAATCACCCTCCTGAGATTGAGGCATCCACTGATCGCTGGCTCAGCAGGCGACACACAACTCGCGCGACCGGCTGCCGCTGCGGTGCGTACTAGGGTATGTATTCGTACGGCGTCGCGCATAGGGGACGGCTGCGATTAAAGTGCTTCGATGTGGTTCCAATCCGAACTTAGCTCTCCCCTCTTTGTCCGTTTCGCTTGCCCAACACCACTGGGACTGGGAGAGGGCCTGGGCAGAAAAGAAAAAGTCCGTGATAGCATGAATGCATGCCATCTGTGGCCACAACGGTCCCGCCCATCCCGCGCGACCTGAGTCTTGTGTGATTGAATGCCGGGTGCCGGAGCCAGCAGCCAGGTCATGATTCCCATCCACCCTTCTCGTCAACAAGGGGTGGAGGGGACCGGTGGGCGACACTTGCGTCCCTCTTTTAGAGATTAGGTGGTCAATGGCCACTCTCTCATGTACCTAACTGGCGATCTACATCCGACTCGAAGGATAAGGCAGGCTCATCAGTCTGTAACTTGGTAGATTGGCTTGCGTCTCTTTTTGCTCGTTGTATGCGGCGACATACTCCGTACGGATACGCGGTACGCGGTTCATCTGCAAGTATCCACGGGACCCCTTAGAGATACATTACGGGCTAACCTTTCGAGGTGAAGAGGAGAGCGCTGGCGGCCAACTGTATGCACATCGTTCCTTCTTATCCAATTTAAATCCCACTTCATTCTTGCACCACTCGGAGATGTACCCTGCGCCTGCGACCTGCCCTGGCCGTCTCTAAGCAACGGAGCAATTCGATTGGTGGTCCCTTCCTCTCTTTCCAGCTTGCCCTTCCATGATCCTCCTGCATCTTGCCTAGTTAGTGCGCCTTCCCTTTTCCTGCCCTTCCTGCCCTTCCTGCCCGCTGTTCATTGCCCAGAGCTCAACTCGACGTCCTCTCTCCGGGCCTCCGCTGCCGTCGTCGTCGTGGTCTTTCCTCCCACTCCTTTTCATCCCCCCCCCTTGTATGTCCTTTGCAAAATTCTGCAATCGCGGCAAGAGCAACAAATATTTTTGCCGATATTCTCGTCGTTTCACTTCACATCTCACCTTGATTTGCGGAGAGTCGTGTTCCAGTCTAGACTGTCTGTCTCTTCCTCCCTTCCCCCCCCGCGCTATTCGCCCCCGTCCGATCCATTGCACCACACCCCCCGAAAAACATCCCAACTGGGTCTCCTTTGATAGGAGCCGTCTAATCAGCGAGTCTTGTCCAATCTCGCCAAGCCCCCGTAACAGGTCCCGCTCACACTGCAGCGTTGCTGTCGTTGGAGCCAGGCTTCTTCTCGATTTGGTTCTGCGTGGCGCGCGAGAATTCATCAAGTCCCTTTCTTACTTCGATAGACCAGCGCTTCGGGTCGTCATTCCTTTGGTTGTGTGTTTTCCAAACGGCCGCAGCATGCCTCTATAGCGCCGTGGCAAACATTCCGACCGTAGCCTGTACCCAATCGCCCGTCTGATCAGCATCTTTTAAAACCTCAGACTGCCGATTCTTTAATAACTCCCAATCGACCGCCGCCTGCCGCCGCCTGCCGCTGCCGCGCTGGCAATGTTGACCATGCTCAAACAACAATCATCGAGAGGCTTCATCGCCCCGAGGGCCCGTCCCAAGACGTTGCTC